ACATGACATTGCCCCAATCAGACACATTCCAATTGACATGTTTCCGGCACCACTGCAATCGGTACCCGGGCGTACAGTCCACTCATATGTAATCTTCGGCGTACAGTAGCTGCAGATATCGTCTTACCAACGGACGCTGTAACCATAGATGTCACACGTGTGGAGGTCGCTCTGCGATTCCGCTTCTCTACAGTAGCAATATATCGATCTTCCGCGGGGGTTGTAACCCTTGGGTGACCGGCTACGGGTCTTCGGACAACTGCCTGTGTGGTTCGGAATTGTTTCCATAAACGTGAAATTACAGAATGATGAACGCCGAAGAAAAGAGCAACACCTGTGATCGACTGTCCTGCTTCAATGCGACCCACAGAACGCCAACGCTCAGAATCTTCCATTCGTCTTCTGGAAGTCATAGAACACGTATGTCTTGAAACAAATTGTACGAAAGTTTTAAACACCTTCTATCAGCACTTACAATGAAATTCTGTAACCCTTCATAAAGCTGGCTTCTTATAAGACTGCCTTTTTTCCATATTTCTTGACGTGAAAGCGCGATTGGCTGTTACCTAACTTATTTGCATATTTCTATCTACCTCTGCAGGGTATTGCATCCTCTTCAATTCTGATTGGCTTCCGGAAATTAGCATTTTCCTCTCCGTGCTTAACTTTTGGAAGTGAGTGTATTAAGGTCGGCCGTATTGTACGCGCCTGCTGGTAATCGCCGGCTAGTTTAAATTAAGGGCCAACTACCTTAGATGTTTGTGTCTAACTTCGGATAAGTCTATTTTAGTTTAGTCTCTTATTTTTTTATTCTGATTTAAAAGACCAAGTGGAGGCTTTCTGTAAGCCCGAGAAGGGGCCATCTGTTACTATTTCGTTGAGTGAATAAAAAGGTATTTTAACACTTCTCGAGTTTACGTTGTAAGTACTTGAACGTAGCGATAAGTCGCTACCTAGTTTATTAGGTTCCTCGACCTTTTCTCATAGGCAAAGTAGCGAGGGAGATTAGAATTCGTTTTTCCCATAAAGTAAATATTCAGTTTTCCATTTTCCTCCTAAACTTTCGTTTTTGATTTTCTAACCCTCTCTTTTCTTTTATCTTTTTTTTTTTATTTAATTTTTATCTTAATTTTTATTTTAAGTTCTTGTTTTAAGTATTTATCGACATTACATTTCCCTTACCCAAAAGTAAACTTAAGACTTACACAGATTTCTTCACCTACGAATTTTAAATTGGGACTATATATATATATATATATATATATATATATATATATATATATATATGGACATCAGCATAATATCAGGTTTTTCTACAGGGTTTTACTGATAATAATTTTTTTCTACCCGTGATATAAAATCGAATTAGCCAATGCAGATTCCTTCTACTTAGTTTAGTTCGAATAAATGCGGAAAGTATTACATTGATTATTTTTATGCTGTTAACAATTAATGGCAGATACTCTAAGCGTTCTCTGCCCTCCTTTTTCATTATTTATTCTACTAATGCAGGTTACACCAATTTTTTTATGTGTATAGGTGCAACATTTTACGAAATAGCCCGAGTTCGCTTTCCACGTTTTATTTTTAATTAAAGGATTTACCCCCAAACCGCCTACCAAATGTAAAATTTATTTTGACACATTTAGATGCATGTACCTTTTATGTTTAACATTTGGTTTTTGAAAACACATTTATGTTATATTTCTAACTATATACACAAGACACACAGGCTTTATTTATAGACTTTTATTTAGGAATTTTAATTTAGAGTATACATAAATACCATAGTAAAATCTACTACTTTCAATGAAAAAAAGAGTAATTCACGGATGATCGTTTTTATGGCATATAATCACCTCGAACCAGTATATGTCTATTCTACCCAGTCTGTCCATTCTACTAATTTTGCATTTCTTTTTCCCTCCCTTAATGCTATTAATATGTAAGTGAATGAGTTCACAGCATTCTTTTTTTTTTCCTAGTAAAGAATTATTTATATTACTAATACGGCCCACCAGCGGCCGAGCGGTAAAGTCGCTGAACACTGTTAGTTCGGTCCGAGGTTCGAATCCCGCGGACGGACTGGCTGCATGAGCGTTTTTGTGGTTTTCCCCATGTATAACGTGTATACGATCCAGTTTTCCTTAGAAAGTCCTCCACAAAGGCATCCCTCTCCTTAGGCAGATAGCCCTAGTGGGCCTTGCCATAATTAAATACATCTATATTACTAATACAGAATTCTATCAGCATTTTAAAATGGATTATTGTAATACTATGCACAACAACTTTAATTCTCTTTTACAAATCTTATTTTTAACCACTTAGCCAGAATTTGATTTTTTTCACTGGAAGGTACATTAACTCTAATGAACAACAGAATTTTTAGTCTTCGCACAACTCCATGACAATAATTATATACTCGAGCATATCCCAACTTTTCAATAAAACACATCAACATCAAAGAATTTTTTGCCCCCGATAAAGAATACCTAAATTGTAATATATTATTTAGATTTCAATTACGTCAGATCTACGAGGATAACATTATGAACCTCATCAAGAAGTCTACCTACACATCGAATTAATGTCCAACCATAAAATACTTTTCGAATGAAAACTCAAAACGAAAGTTCGTCACCTTAAAAATTTCCAACGTATCCATACTTCTACCGTAATTGACATTTTTATAAGATTTAAAGTCTTTTAGTATATCTAGTCTATTTTTTTTTAAATTAAGAAAACAAAAATAAAAACTCCTCGTGTTCCACGAAGTGTACGAGGCTTACAGACGTAAGTAAATAACTCATAATAAAGCTGATACAATTCAATAATAAAAGCACAATATCAAGCTCTGAAAAAAAGCAAAGAAAAAATATAAAATAAAAATACTAGAATATACCATGGCTAATTAAAATACGTTAACATTCCTATAAAAGAAAATCAACCAACTTAATAATAATACGAAAATAATAAAAATAAAATAATACTTAAAAATAATACTTGTACAAAGGAAGAATGATACATCTAGTCTGTATGGACGGACCTAGTTTAAAACATACATATTTCATATTTGCATTATTTTGATAACAACTAAAGGCCACAGACCTCTTTGAGTGTATTTCATATTTTATTATTATGAAACTCATAAGTAATTATGTAAAATAACACATAAGCATCATGCAGAGTTAATTTTTTTCTTTTTCTCTTTCATCTAAATGACAAAAATTTCAAACAGATATTATTTTAATACTTCAATCATACAAGGCTTCGAACTTTGATCCGGTATAGTGATTCTGCTGCCGGCTGCCGTATGGTTAACCTGGCGTCGAATCCCGGAAAAGGCTTGGATGTTTCCAAGTGCATAGGGTCTGGGCGACATGGTATATTTGCTGTAAGTAGCGAAACTTGAATGCTTCATATGAGCTTTGAAACTCTGTTCAAACAGATTACGAGCACCATTTTCATAATCGAACTTGTTTTGAGTTATTTTATCATATTTTGTAAGAAATATTGATTTATTTAACTTGAGCGTATTTTGATTTATAATACTGAAAAAAAAAATTATGTGTTTTTTTACCACAAACATTACTTTTTAATTTTCTTTGAAGCAGTAAATTAACAATATAAACCTTTTGCCGTACTAACTGACCCTTGTCTTGTTCTTAATTTTTATTTCACATCATGCTAAATGTCTAGAAAAATCATATTTCACCCTAACTAGATAATTTCAGTAACATTTTACAAGAAAATAGTATTCCTTATCGAATTTTTAATAAAATATAATTAAGCTAAATGTTTTATTATTAATTTGGGAGTTTCTAATGATGTTCTATTTAAAACAAGCACATTCAAAAACAATAGTCGAAACATTCTGCATAAGCATTTTTTACAAATGTTAGTCAATTTCAAAGTATTTCTTTTTTAGGGAAATTTGATTCTTTTGTCAAATACTGAAATGTTTGTTAGTTTTTTTTTCCTTCCGAATGTATTTAGTATATCATACTTGATCATAACAGAAAATTTCATTGTCTTAGTAAAATTACAATCAAGTATAAAGTAAACGAGTATTTCATAAATTCTGTATTTTTATTTTGAAACCTATACGTAAGTAATCACATTAAATCCTTTAGCGTCTTTTTTTCTGCATCACAACTAAATTTTCGAGAACAGAATTTAAAAATTTTTAGTTTCCATGAAATTTATTAATTAACAGTTATTAAGTCATTATGTTTCAGAAAAAAACGTTTTTCGAAATTTATTACTAATAACATTTAGGACACATAAAAAACGTTATGTATTTCTATGCTACCATCGCTCAAGTCACTAATTTTACTATTACTCCTAAAACTTACTTTTACATTGCTCTCTATGGACCCGAAAATAAATTTTATCACTGAATTATTCTAGTTTATTTAATCAACTTTTACAAGATAGCGGGAAATCATCACTGCCACAAGGAAAAAATTAAAAGTTTGAAAAATTACAAAAATTATCAATTCTACGAGGTAAAAACGGAACTTTGAAAAATATGCTGTGTCTTTTCAACATGGCGGTGATGATGCAATTGGTGTGTGTCATTTTAGTTAAGTATTGGTGCATCATCTCAAGAGGTGTTATCTATTATCTAATATTATGCCATCTATCACTTAATGTTTTATAACGACTTTAGGCACGGATCCATTTGCCCACACTGTGTCCATCGCCTACTACTAACGCTAAAAATGTAAGCAAATATTATTTTATTTATACAATCACTTAATGAACCATTAACCAATTACTACAAAAACAGAGCAATAAAAAAAAATCTAGCGTTTTCGGAAAGCCAGAATGGAATTCAGAAATTGCAAATAACTAACCAGTTGATTTCAGAAGAAAGACTAAAGTGAAGAAAAGAAAAGTTATATCATTCAAACATGATAAAAAACTGAGTCCATTATGACAGGTACGTTAACAGAAATCTAATAAGCAAAATTACAAACAACGTAAATTTGACTTACTCTTGTAAAAAACACATGCCAGTAAATGGTTGAGGTGTGTAGCTACACGATGGGATTTGTGAGCCTGTCGAATATTAAAGATCAACATAGTAAGTACTTACAAAAGTATTCAAAGAAGGGTTCATAAAACATCATTATAAAATACAACATAACACTTACGGGGCTGAGAGTAATAAAAAAGCGAAATGTAAATATTAAAGCATTTAACAATAGTTTTATGGTTATCGGTGTTTATTATTTGGCAGTTATTTAGAAGAAAATATTAAAAAGATAACAGAAAAAAAATTATATAGTTAGTACTTCTATATCCCTTCTTAAATATAAATATTTGTACTAAAGACATATTTCTACTTAAAAATTTCTTAATATGCAAAATTTTATGTAAAAATTTAAATGTGAAAGCAGAAAGGATATTAAACATTCATGTATTATGCATCTCCACCAAAAAAAAATTCAAATAAATAAAATGATTATTTTGCTTTGACACAAAATGTTCTACCTTTATACTCAAAACGTGTGAAAATATTTAAGAAGAAATTTATGGACCATCGATTTCTAGCGATTTATTTTGCCTGTTAAGGATTCAAGACTTTTGAAAAGCGTTTAGGCTGCAGCTATAAAATAAAAGCAGTTTTTTAACCAACTAAATAATTCCATCTCTAATGTAATAACATGTAATAACACCGATACTTTTCAGCAAGTAATTTTAGTATTGCTATTATAATTACTTCCATGGTTTTATACACTTCAGTTTTAAAATAACACAGACTATACATTTCTTTTAAGTATTCAAGACTTTTGAAAAGCGTTTAGGCTCCAGCTATATAATAAAAGCAGTTTTTTAACCAACTAAATAACTCCCTCTCTAATGTAATAACATGTAATAACACTGATGCTTTCAGCAAGTAATTTTAGTATTTCTATTAGAATTACTTTCATGGTTTTATACACTTTAGTTTTAAAATAACACAGACTGAGCTTTTCCTTACCCTGTTTAGTAAGCTAAGCTTATGTTTCGGAAGTTCAAGACAGTGTCAAAATAATTTAACAGAGGTTATATATGCGATAAATTAAACTGTTATTTATCCTATCTCGATCCACGATATAGCGGCTCGGCAAAGACAAAATTCTCTATATCACTAAAGAATTAAATGGCGTATGGTGTATTTAATTATACCAAAGCACACTAGCTATAGGGCTATCTGCCTAAGGGGAGGGATGGTTTCGTGGAGGACTTTCTAAGGAAAACTGGCTCGCATACAAGTTACACATGGGGAAAAGCACGAAAACGCCCATGCAGCCAGCCCGTTCGCGGGATTCGAACCTCGGACCGAACTACCAATGTTCAGCGACTTTACCGCTCGGCCGCTGGTGGGCCAAAGAATTAAATGAGAAAGCATGTTAATTCTTGGCAATAAATATGATGAAATATTTTTGAACTGAAGAATATTTTCTTTCACGCAGTAACATATTCAGAATGCTACCCTATTTTATATTTAGCAAACACTAAGACCCTTGTATTTGCATAATCATGATTACTTATTACAGAGGAACTTGCTTTCAATTAATAGTTACATATAACAAAGTAACTGTTATGAATGATTTTCCTGTATGAGTTCTACAAAATTGCACAAGTTATCCCATACAAGGTTTTCATTTAAATCTTTTATAGTTCATAAAGCTGCATGGCTGTTGATTATGAAGAAAATTATAAAATATAATACCAACACATAAAATAGCCAAACATTTTTGTCCTGTTTAAAACAAACCATATTTGTTTAAAAGCTAATCGCCAAGCTAAAATTTTCCGAAGTAATATCCCACCGAAATACATACAGTTTGAAAAATAAAAAGTATGGAGTAAAACCGTAATTCTGAAACGGAATTTGTTTAATCATTACTTATCTAATGTTTGTACGTTGTTTTCTTAACAGAAAATTAAAATCTGTACAGATGATTCATATGTTATAAAGGGTGTCTTGAAAACATGGGAGCTACAGGCTTTCTTTCCTTTGACACTGACATAGCACTTACAATAATAAAGCTGCGGAACCGGTATAGTAGTCAGCGTCGCTGACTGCCGTGCCGAAGGGCCCAGGTTTGAAACCCGAAGAAGGCATGGATGTTTGTAAAAGCATAGTGTCGGTGCCGCATGGCAGTACTCTAAATATGCGGCTAGCCGAAAGTCCTCCCGTGTCGTTGGTGGAAGGGGAGAGAGGTGAGAGACCCTCGGACCCGTCCCTTCCCGGGGTGCTCTCCATCAAAATTGGGGCTCGGAACTGAGATAAATCGCACAGTCACCTGAATGGTGCTCAAGGCTGTTGCCAACGACAGGCGTAATCTTGAGGTCCTTGCTACGAGGAATTTCGTGGGCTTGGGTCGACTAGGTAAGACAAGTAAGCATATATAACAACAAAAACAACAACATAATAGAGTTATTTTTAAAAGAAGGTACTAAACTAAAAAACTAAACTCGGTGGCACAACAGCCCCTTAGAGAGCCATGGCTAGCAGTGCCCTGATATCTGCTTTCTAGACCGTGGGGCCAGGGGTGCGTGCATATGCCCCGGACAAGTGGTCAGTTTATCAAAAGAAGATATATAATTTTCTAAAAACAGTTTCAATATTATTGTTGAGTGGAAGGGTTCTAGCAAAGTAAATCCGACAGGTTACGCAATTCCTCGCAAGTAATAAAGCTCCTAAGTAATAAAATGAATTCGAATTTCAAGAAAACAGTTTCATCCTCCCACAGGAGGTGGAGAGTTCTTTAAAGGAAATCAGAGAGAATATGCATTTACGCTTTGCAAAATTCTAATTAACAGAGTGAATCAGAATTTTAGTAATGTAGTTTTAGCACTGTGAGGTGGAATCGTTCTGTACAAATAAATCCGGCAAGTTACATATTCCCTCCATCATCAAAAAAGGTAACCAAGAAAATGTCCATTAAGCTTTAATAAATTAAATACAAAATATTCGCACCTTTACATGCAAAATTCATGAAATTCAAGAAAAAACAGTCGAATGATTTGGTTTTGTTAAACGATGGTTTCATGCTTCACTGAATTTTGTAAGTAGTAACAGGCCGTATAATTAATTGTTTTAGCTTATTTTGTTCTTAGGTTTTGGCACCACTCGGTTCTACTGTTTTGATTTAGTTGCATGGTATGCGCCGTTGCCTAGAATGATAATTAAAATTGTTTACTATTTTTATTCCTGCTATATCTCTTGATACTAAAAGTTAATTTTAATTTATTATGACTCAGCATGCCCTGTAATTTTTAAAAAAATTTACTAGCAACTTTAAGTGAAAATTACTTTTCGTTTCTGTCTGCTGTGCTATAAACAACTTCAGGATTGGAAACGCATATTGCAGAAACAACTTTTGGCGTGCAAAGTGCTGCTCTGGCGACATATTTCACACAAAAGTGGAAATTTACTCTTAGGTAATTAATCACCTTGAAGGCAGAAATATTTACGACGCGTGTATCCAAGAAAATACAAATGTTGTTCCGGATCAGTGTGCAGCCGAAAAGGCAAGTTTTGTTCAAAAGGGAAATTTGAAGACAGATACTAAAACTGAAAAGTCAGCGGGAAATGATAATTCAAAAGTAAAATAGGCATAGATTTCGGCTGTAAAATCAAATTTTAGTGTAGCTAATTATGGTTATAATAAATATTATGTGTATTTTCCCATAAACTTGCAAGGAAACCTCGACTTACTCAAAGTATGAAAAAGGAAGGACTGGCTTTTGCCAGACAATATCAGAATTGGACCGAATAGCAGTGGAGTACAGTGTTATTTTCTGATGAGTCAAATGTGCAGCAATTTTCTTCACGTGCTAAATGTATTCGTCGCTCATTTGGCAAAAGATATGATGACAGATATACGATTCCGACAGTGAAACACCCTCTAAACCAGATGATATGGGGTGCAATGTCTGCATTTGGTACTGCTGCTGTATAGTTCCTGCCATCTAAAACCACGATGAATGGCAGTCGGTACCTTAATTTGTTACGTGACAGGTTGAAGCTTCACTTGGATGTTCACAGATGTTCAATTTTCATGCATAATGGGGCTCCGTGTCACAGGGCAAGGAATGTTAAGGACTATCTGAGGGCTACTCAAATTCAAACCTTGATTGGCCAGGTAACAGCCCAGATTTGAATCCCACAGAAAATCTATGGTGTTTTGTGGAAACTAAAGTCGCGAAGAAGCTACCATCCAGTGCTACTGAACTTGTTGAAGCAATAAAGCATGTGTGGTGTACAGAAATTTCTCAAGTTTACTGCCAGTCTCTTGTTTATAGCGTGCCTAAAAGGATTGCAGCAGTGAGGAAAAAAATAAAGGAGGTTCGACAAAATACTGACTATATTTCAATAACCTTGTAAATCTATTTTTGCATTTATAACATATGTTTTTGTTGCGGAATTCCAATAAATCTGATTTTTCCATTAGTGGTCTTAAACTTCTGAACACGATTGCAAAACTTTCTAAAAGTTTTGGATGCAGGATATAATTAATTGAGAAACATGTTAAAAAAACTGTGCTAGCTAAATTAAAACTGTGCTAGCTTCTGCTATGGGTTATATTCTGTACTGAGTAAATATATACTGTGCTAAATGGAGTTATAATAAATAAAAATAATGGTTGCGTTAATTTGTGGCGTAAAAGATTTACACACCTCAGTTACCCAGGTTTACAAAAATCGAAGTCTATGGTTTCTGGAATTAAAATCCTGGTGGTGAAGAATCATCATCCACCACCTTTTATTTCGGGCGACACTAGAGTGATTTTAGAAATTTTCGAAACAAAGAAATCGAAGAAAAGAAGCAAGAATTTTAATAGCTGCTGTATATGTAAATGACCTGTTGATATTTTCAAATGCCAAGTTTTATGCGATGGATAAATGAGGAAGTATTCGCAAGGTCTGATATGAAAAATTAGGATGAACTGAGCTTCAGTCTAGGTTCTCGTTTGGTTTATTTAATTATAACAAAGCAATCTAGGGATATCTGACTAAGAGCAGGGATGCCTTCTTGGAGGCCTTTCTACGACAAACTGGCTTTTACGCACGTTACACAGAGCGAAAGCCGAACATGCAGTCAGCCCGTTCGCCTTGAATCGAAACTGGGCCGAACTTTACCGGCGACTTTACCGCTCGGCTGCTGGTAGGCTCGCAGGTCATCGAGGTTCAAAAAGATAGGGCTACTACTAAATTAAAACAACGTATTAATATTAAATCAGTATTGAAAACATTTTCTATGTTTCTATGTGTGGGTTAAAACTAGCCACCTATATCATGCCCGACAGATTAACGTGATAACTATTTACTGTTTTTATTTCTGTTAGATCTTTTGTTACTGAAATTAAATTTTGATTAGACCATTTTTAGAACTTGTTACTGAACGAAATTTGGATTATTCAACCAAATTTAGGGAGAAATTTCAAAAGCTGTTCCATTTTACCAATTAATGGTTCTTAATACAGGAAATATTACTTATTATTAGCTTTATGGCAGCCACCATGGAACTATTACTTATAAATATCTCCATGAACTAAACATATAAAAAAAGAGGCGGTTCTTGGAATAGAGTGTAGATTTGGTATTGACAGAACCGGTCCTACAGATCCCCAAAACGGAAACTGTTTCCCCAAAATTTTACATTATTTCAGCAAACGCTGCATTTAGAAGTACAAGCATGTGATCAATATAGAAGGACATAAAGCGTACGGCCACTTTTTTTTCGAGCAAATTTTTATAAAGGACCATAATATCACATTCAGCTAAGTTATAATCTATTCTCATATAGCAGTACGCTCAAAACTTGATCAATCACATGCAGGGGCGTATTTAGATGTTTGCCTGTCGGGAAGATCTCTGAGTTTGTCACTTGAGGCGGTCCCTGAATTTGCGACAAGTCTTGAAATACAAACAAATAACTATAAAAATATCTCCAAAACGACATATAAAAAATAAATTAAAATGTTACGTTTATATTTAAAGAAAAACTTTAAAGTCCGACATTTTAAAATTATATTATTATTATTTTTCTCCCCCTTTTTTGTGTGTGAGGATTCATTCGCAAAACAATCATTGTCCACTGGTCGAGGATTTTTTCCCGTAGTCATTGACAAAGAATTTAAAATATTTTCAGCTTGCCATTAAAGAAGACATTTCGCTGTCAGAAATAACATTAATAATCTTCTCATGGTTTTATTTAATCCTTCTATCAGTTATAAAATTGCACGGATTCTCCAGAAGTTCAATTTTCAAGTCATTTTCTCCCCTATCAATAAAATCCATGGTTCCATTCTTAAAGATTCCATTTGTGAATTTAATTTTCGGGGTATTTATAGCATATCATGCCAGTGTGGTGTGAGATACATCGGCCAAACTAAAAGAGCGTTAAACTTTCGTATCAAGGAATACAAATCTTGTGTTCGAAAACGCGAAATTTCTTCCAAAGCTAATCATAGTTGGAAATTTGATCATAAGTTTGACTTCGAGTCATCAAAATTTATCCAAGAAGCTTCTTTCATTACTGAATTGGATTTTCTTGAAGCTTTTCACATTCACAATGATTTTCCTAGATTAGTGACTTTAACGCTTTTAAAATTCTATTAACTTAAATATTGAATTTTCGTTACTGTAGCTGTCGACAGATGTCACTATGCCCTCGTTCGCTTTACTTCTGTAGGGTATAAATACTACCGTTGTTTTTCGGTTTTGTAGATGTTTTGGCTCCTGATGAAGAGGGCCCTGCACCTGTTTGCCGTCGAAATCGATTGAGCTCTTAACTAAATCTACGCAAAACACAAGGTTGTTGCTTTGTTAATTTAATGAAAAAATAAATGTGTTTAAATTGCTGAGTCTGCCAATCAAAATTCATTAGTGTTCACTTCCACGCCTGTCGAATTAATTTCTACCTTTTCGTTGCCCTGCGTTGGCAACACGCTTTTGAGATTTGTCGTTCGATTCGGTCGCTAAAAGCGTAGCTGGCCTGTAACGGTTGTAATTATTATTTTATGCTTATCTGTACTCCTGAATTATTACTAAATGTTTACGTGTGAATGTTATATTATTAAATATATTCAGTTTGGTTGAAATAGACCGAGAGTGACTGAATTTATTTAAGTATAATCAAAGTCGAAACTGCGTCATCCATGTCGGCGCCATTCTAATACGAGGTACGTAAACAATTAGGTTTTTCACAAAACGTAAAAACGAAAAAAAAAATCAGGTTTCATGGTGCATATGATGGAGTATAGGACTATATGTGAGCAAAATTTGGTAGCTGTAGTTACCACCATCTTTACACAGTGCGACAGAAAACATACTGATTCTTTTCTAATGCTATATATAAAAAAGGAGAACTTAAGAAAAATAATTACCGTCGTCGTATTGTCGTGAAGGGCCAGGCTGGATGTTAACTAATTGGTCCTCTTGCGTAGAATGTCCAGGCTGTGGGTTGTCAAGTTGTAATGTCGGTAAACGAATGGGATGAGCGCTATAAAAGAAAATAAAATTCCAAAATGTAGTTATACCACTTCATGCGTTTTTTAACACCAAATACATGTAATCATTCTTGCACACAAAAGAAAATCGGTTTCATTGTCTATAAAATATATTTATGGTGCTTTAAATTAAGGCATTCATTTCCACCTGCTTCCTTATAAAATAAATGATACAAATGTAAGCATTATAATTCATCCATAATATTTGACATATTTAAGTTTAGAAAAGAAATATTTCAAATACTTTACCCAAATTGTCATCCGTTATTAGAACATTACTCGCGCAGCAACACTGCATTTCGCAAAGTTAACTTGGAAAAAATGTGTTATATAGTTCAAATGAAGAAGTGAGTCTAAACAAACCTAAATACTGTTGAATTTAAAAGAGAAAAACGAAACACATTTTAATTAAATATATTTTCATTACTGCTTAACATGTAGGCACATGATGCAATTATTTTTTAAAAAGCTACCAGTTTTGGTTTTGGACAGCGACTGAGGCAAATCGTAAAACGTTTTGCGGTGTGGAGCGCAGAATTTTCCAATGCTTCTGGTCGTCTAGCTCCGCTTCTTTCTTCATTTGTGTCAATCTCCATTGCAAAATCAGACAGCTCCTTTTTTTTATTTTGACAATCTGTTTAAAATTTTGTAAGTTAAAAGCGCTTCATCTTCTTCATTACTGCTGCTTTCACTGTCGGCTGGTGTTTAAGATCACCAGTTCTTCCATCGTCATTTCTCGATTAATTCTTTATTGCACTTTCGTCGCTCTCTGAAACTCCTTCGCCGCCAAATACGTTCGCAATCTGCATCATTTCTTTAGCTTCATTTGCAGTAGATGAAAATCATTTAAAATATTTAATAGCTTCTGGCCAGAGCTGATTCTAGCACGTATTTAGCGTTGATGAATTCACTTGTTCCCATACGAGTTTAATAATTTCTAGGACATGGTTTATGCTGACTTTGCTTTTCAGAATGCCATTAGAGTCTCGAGCTTTTCTTCGTCTAGGACATTAATTAGAGAAGTGTAACCATACCCAACATAATAGACTAGAATGATTTTATGATATATTGATGCATTAGACAATGTTAGCGGATGCATTTCCGCAAGAAAACGAAACAAAGTCAATCCTTAAATGTTTGAAAAACCTGGCGCAAGCTTTTGTGTCTTTGTGATTAAGGTTCGTAGTCCCATTCGTTTATAAAATATGCTCACCTCATTCGCAATGAAAACTTGCTGCCTGAACGTAATCCCTCTCTTCCATGAATTTAAAATTTGGAATTTGAATACCTCTGTTGCTTCCTTTAGCATTCAGGAATAATTTCATGCAGTGGGAGCGGTTTTCTCTCCTTTCCGTGTAATTAGATTATACTGGCCGCAATACGGGATTATTGTATCCCCTAGCGATGGCATCAACATTGCAATATTGAACAGCATGAATATTTTTTTAACAGGCTCCGTTTTTATCTTGTGGCAGCGATGGTTTTTATAGTTTTCAAAATTTCGCTCCCTTGTGAAAATGAGAATTTTCCGCCATCTTGAATCACACGAATTTTAGAAGGATGACATCAGTTTGTATGTCCTAGGAATGTTTTAGAACTTGTTTGTTCAGCACGAATCCATCCACTATGCTATGATAATTATTCGGAAAAAGTATTATCTATACACTGGGATACAGTTAGCCCAGGTAACCAAGAGAAGAACTCGTTTATTCAACATGGAATATAATTTTTAATTATATTGCTTAATTGAATAGCTAATCATACAATTATTTATTAAATGATTAGATTTTTTTATGGTGACACAGCATTTTTAATTAATGAATTTTGTGTAATTGCAAGATTTTCTGAAAGGGATCGTTAGCGAATGTCAAACCATCGAAGTGCAGACTAGCGCAAAACATCTAGACGGCTCCCGTCGCTACCCAACGGACTTAAATTAGCCAGCGTTAAGGTGTGTTACCAGGACGGAATAAAGCTTAAATGCCTTTATACTTTTGAGTGTATCCACGCCAGCGCAACAGCACATCCCTTACAGATTAATCGGACACATTCTATTAATTTAAAATCTTTTCTTAAAATTTAATTGCAGACGATTTTGCTGTTTTACTAATAAGGTAGTTCTCCCTCCTTCTTAGCATACCTTCGTGGTGTAGAGGTCAGCACGCTGGGCGCGTATTCCAAAGGTCCCTGGTTCGATTCCCGGAGAAGGCGTTGCTCATTTTTCACATCTCGTGCTTCCACAAAATAACTAATGTTTCCACAGTGGCGCCCGAACTAAAAGGGTGGTGGATGAGGATTCTCCACACCCAAGATTTGGCGATTGATTCCCCTAAAAACCCAGTCGCCCTTCAAAAGGATGAGTATATACGGTATTTCTCCCGCCTTCTTAGGATGCCTTCGTTGTGTAGTGGTCTGCACGCTGGACGTGGGCGTATTATGAATTATGGCAAAGCACACTACGGCTATCTGCCTAAGAGGAGGGATGCCTTCGTGGAGGACTTTCTAAGGGAAAATGGCTCTTATACACGTTACACATGGGGAAAACCACGAAAACGCCCATGCAGCCAGCCCGTTCGCGGGATTCGAACCTCGGACCGAACTACCAGTGTTCAGCGACTTTACCGTTCGGCCGCTGGTGGGCCCTGTGGTTTGATTTCCGGCGATTTTTTATTTCTCCTGTTTCCAAAAATTACCTAATGTCTCTACACATTCTTAGAACTAACATTTACCTTTTTTTTTTTTCACAAGTTTCACTTTTTGGTTATTATATGAAAAACAAATTTTTTTTTAAGTTTAAATTTTCATTTTATTTTCTTTCCTTTTTACCTATGTTATATTCCTAATTTTATGCTAATTTTTCAAAAAGTAAAATCTTATTTTTCATTTCTCCTTTAAGTTCCCTGTTTCTGCAAATGCTATTTTCTCAAATTAGTTTTCCATTTCATGTTTCACCTATGAGGTTCGACTTTATCTGGTACTGTTAATTAGTCCAATGACACCAACAAACGTAAAGCAAATTATCGATATCTCTAGAAAAACAATACAGTCAGGGAAATGTTTTAAATAAACTTTTTTATATAAATACAATTTAGAATCTAAATTCACTTAACAATATCAACCACAACTCGTTGTGATCCAACTAAAGGAACAGTCAAATTAAAATTAAAACATGGAATAACAAGTCAGGAACTACAATTTAAATTTTACTCAAGCTGGTTCAGTAACTCTACTGGCGCGTCAGATTCAAGTGTTGGGAGCGATAACTCAAAGCCGAATAATTACAACTTTTCAGAGCTGGCAGAAGCTAAATAACGTACACGCGCAGGCCGGAAACATGTTCTCTTTTATAATTCCAAAACCTCAGCTTAAATACTACCTTAACTCGTTTACATTCCGTTGAGGAAACGGAAAGAAGAAGTCATAGCAAAGGCTGAAATTATAGATAACTGATTAATTTAAATAATAACTTTACACGCCTTTTAATTTTTATTTTAAAAATATATTTATTTTCTGATTTTTATTTTAATTTTTTATTTTGTAAAACTAAATGTTATTCTCACAGATTTATTTTTATCTTTTACTTCCTTGTACGGAGTTAAGGAAGTATTGTAATCAAGAAAAAATGGGGGGGGGGGGGTATCATATTTCAAAGAAAATATCTATTTGACTGCTCCTGAATCTATTTGACCATTCTTTTGCGTGACTATTTATACGGACGGACAGGATAAAAGAGTCTATATTCCGAAACGTAGTTGTAAAATGGATTTTAAAATGAATTCAAAAGAAATTGTTTTCATTGCGTCTACACGTACGCATGTATCTCGCGTAACTCAAAAACCATTAGCCGCAGAATGTGGAAATTTTGCATATGGCCTGCTATAACATCTAGTTGTGCACCTGCCCTTTTCATTGCAATCGGCAATGTGAAGTTAAAAAACATTTATCTTAGAAATGTAACGAAATCTTAACTTTTGATGAGGATCCCCAGTTCCTATACTTATGTTTGCGAAAGTTTTATACTTGTTATGAAAAAGTAAAATTATAAGAAGTTCGACTGAACAGGCTATTTGATTTCAAACTTTGCAATTTTTGGTGTCATTTTCAACTCGGCTTGAGAGTTCGGTAATTAAGTTAGAACAATTCGAGGAAATAAGTTTAAATGAAGTGAGCAAAAAATGTGTATAATTTATTAGGTTGTACAAGGAAATCATGAGGTGTCCACATATTTTTTTTTTTTTTTGTTTCTACAAATATAAATGAGAAATTTATTAAAACTTGTTTGCTATTTTATAATTCTGTAAGATGTATGTTGATTTTATAACAGTTATTTTTAATTTTGATACGCTTCCTTTCAGTTCTTGTTTCTCCCTACTAGAGTGAGTTTTCAGAATCGCGGTGAATGCGAATGCGTTAGAAGCAGTACTTAAAGGAAGTTCAACTTACTTCGTGAGAGAAATAATTAAAAAAGCCACGTAAAGCGCCGGGAAATGATGGAGTAAAAATTACTGCGATCAAGAAACTGCCTCCTAATATTGTTTGTAAATTGACAAGCATTTTAAATGCATGTATGTTTCATTCCTACTTTCCAAAGAAATGGAAGAAATGCTAAAGGAATTCTAATTCCCAAAGCCTGGTAAAGAGCTTATGAAAGCTGAACGGTTATCGTCCGAGCAGTTTATTACCTGTGCTTTAGAAAAATTTATGAAAGGATATTACTTGTCGTATGCAAACTTAGCTTACGTCATTACCACCGGAGCAATTTGGATTTCGAGCCAAACTTTCGACTACTAAACAACTAGTGTTTAGAAGTTTACAACTAGTTATTACTAAACAACTAGTGTTTAGTAGTTTAGTACATTACGGAGTTTGCTGGCTCTGCGCTCCATAATAAACAGTGTGTTGCTCTCCTCATGCTAAATGCGGCGAAAGCTTTCGACCGCGTCTGGCATGAAGGGCTTATTTCCAAACTCATCTCCTGTCATTTTGACACAGAACTGTTTCTTACGATTCACTCGTTCATCACTAACAGAACATTCAGTGTTTGTGTTAACGGTGCAAACTCCTCCGAAAGATTTACTTTAAGCGGTATTTCACAAGGCTCGGTCCTAGGACCAATTTTGTACTTATTTTATGCCGCAGATTTCTCACAAATTCAGCAAAATAATTCTAGTTTAGCCTGCTATGCGGATGACACCGCCTTAGGTGTGAAATCCTCAAATGTGAGTCATGCTGTCAGCAAATCTCAAAACTTCATTCCCCACATTGAAAACTGGTGCGCACAGTGGAATATTCAAGTCAACGCGTCCAAATGCACAACTTCTGATTATTCGGAAACAAAAAGCGAAAGATACGCTCAAAAACAGGACTTGCGTTCTTTTAATGAAACCTGTTCCTGTCGTCTCTGGAGCAAAATACCTTGGAATATTGTTTAACGATCGCCTCATATGAACTCACCACGTTAATAACGTACGAGACAGGGCTCTAATAAGTCATTAAATTTCTTTATCCTGATTCCTGCCGAAGAAGAGACTTTCTGTTATTAGGTCTTCACCAGTCTGGACAACAATTACTGACCAGGAACGTAATAAATTACAAGTTGTGCAGAACACATACCTGCGTATCATCACAGATGTTCAATTTTTTTATGGAATAAGTGTCTTCGTGATGACCTCAAAGTAGAACCCCTTGCGAAGTTCTTACACAAGATTAATACGCAATTCTATCAGGACACACAAGATTGCAACATTATGAATCATTTCAATCTCTTCAGCTATGAAATTCTGCAAGAAGATGGTCACTTGCACTCTTACACAGCTTTTATATTAAACCAAAATTTTCCTACATAGGATTTAAAATTGTTATTACAACTCCATATTGTATAAGCATGCTAAATCTTTTTCCTAATTTTTTGTAGGACTTTCTGCTATTTTAGCATGGCATATACTTGTAAATATTATGTAAATAGAGGTCTATTTTCTGAGGAAAATATGTATATTATATTTTATGTACTGTTTAATTCTGTGAAATATATTTTCCACATCCCTTACGTGACAAACGAGTCATAAACTTTTATCCATCTCTCTAAACCCACTTAAGCATTTTTGTACTTGCATCGCTCCTTCAAGCACCTACGTTACAATAGCCGGTATACAACTTACATACATAGCAAGCTAGACGCAGCGACAGCGGTAACTGGAACTGGAACTTTGTGAGACAGTGCTTAGGAATCCTTAGTATCGCGTGTTTGCCTTCTGGTTACTTCGTTCTTGAATCTACATTCACTTGCAAAAGTTAAGCACAAAGATGTAAAATGCAAAAAAATCAACAAATACTGCTTTGATTGACGCAAAGTTCGGCAGGAAAGTAGCATATATATTTATGCATAATTTCATTTCTGTATATAATTATTGATAAAACAAAATCAATAATTATATACACAAAAGAAAATAATATTAAATTTTTGTAAGTTATCAGATAATGACATACTGGAAACTTAAGCAGAATTATGTATAAAGTGAAAATAAACAGCATGAAATGGAAAAAAAGGACATTAATAGGGTATGTAATCCCTCCTCATCTGTATACAAAGTTTACACCTTGTGACCATGCTTTCAATTAGGTGGTCAACTACCGCAGAGTTAAGCAATCACCATTCTTCTTGTATAGCAGTTTCTAGCTCAACGAGAGAGGCTGGAGGTGGGAAGCTTGAAGATACAGCACGGCCGAGAGCATCGCAAAGACTTTCAATGGGATTGAGGTCGGAAGAATATGCTGGCCACGCCATACGCGCAATCCCTTCACTCTCCAGGTAGTCATCGACGATGTCAGCACTATGGGGACGTGCGTTATCGTCCATTAAAACAAAAGTAGGGCCAACTGCCGCAGCGTACAATCTTACAATGGGTCCTAGGACTTCATCTCGATACCGGACAGCCGTCAAAGAATTCCGTTTAAAGATGTATAGGTCCGTGGGGTATCCTAATATCTAGTCTAATATCTATATATCTAGTCTAATTTTTTTTTTTAATTAAGAAAACAAAAATACAAAACTCCTCGTGTTCCACGAAGTGTACGAGGCTTACAGACGTAAGTAAATAACTCATAATAAAGCCAATATAATTCAATAATAAAAGCACAATATCAAGCTCTGAAAAAAGCAAAGAAAAAATATAAAATAAAAATACTAAAATATAACCATGAATAATTAAAATACGTTAACATTCCTATAAAAGAAAATCCACCAATTTAATAATAATACGAAAATAATAAAAATAAAATAACACTTAAAAATAATACTTGTACAAAGGAAGAATGATACATCTAGTCTGTATGGACGAACCTAGTCTAAAAACATACATACTTCAAATTTGCATTATTTTGATAACGACTAAAGGCCACAGACCTCTTTGAGTGTATTTCATATTTTATTATTATGAAACTCATATGTAATTATGTAAAATAACACATAAGCATCATACAGAGTTAATTTTTTTCTTTTTCTCTTTCATCTAAATGACAAAAATTTCAAACAGATATTATTTTAATACTTCAACCATAGAAGGCTTCGAACTTTGATCCGGTATAGTGATTCTGCTGCCGGCTGCCGTATGGTTAACCTGGCGTCGAATCCCGGAAAAGGCTTGGATGTTTCCAAGTGCATAGGGTCTGGGCGACATGGTATATTTGCTGTAAGTAGCGAAACTTGAATGCTTCATATGAGCTTTGAAACTCTCTTCAAAGAGGTTACGATAACCATTTTCATAATCGAACTTGTTTTGAGTTATTTTATCATATTTTGTAAGAAATATTGATTTGTTTAACTTGAGCGTATTTTGATTTATAATATTGAAAAAAAAAAATATGTGTTTTTTTACCACAAACATTACTTTTTAATATTCTTTGAAGCAGTAAATTAACAATATAAACCTTTTGCCGTACTAACTGACGCTTGTCTTGTTCTTAATTTTTATTACACATCATGCTAAATGTCTAGAAAAATAATTTCACCCTAACTAGATAATTTCAGTAACATTTTACAAGAAAATAGTATTCCTTATCGAATTTTTAATAAAATATAATTAAGCTAAATGTTTTATTACTAATTTGGGAGTTTCTAAAAGCGGAAATTTCTTCTAGCCGAAAATCATCACTGCCACAAGGAAAAAATTTAAAGTTTGCAAAATTACAAAAATTATCAATGCTACGAGGTAAAAACGGAACTTTGAAAAATATGGTATGTCTTTTCGACATGGCGGTGATGATGCAATTGGTGTTAAAAGAAATCTAATAAGCAAAATTATAAACAACGTAAATTTGACTTACTCCTGTAGAAAACACAAGCCACTAAATCCTTGAGGGGTGTTGCTACAGGATGGGATGTCTGAGCCTGTCAAATATTGAAGATCAACATAATAAGTACTTACAAAAGTATTCAAAGAAGGGTTCACAAAACATCATTATAAAATACAACATAACACTTACGGGGCTGAGAGTAATAAATAAGCGAAATGTAAATATTAGAGCATTTAACAATAGTTTTATGGTTATCGGTGTTTTTTAGTTGGCAGTTATTTACTATCGGTGTTTACTATTTGGCAGTCATTTAGAAGAAAATATTAAAAGGATAACAGAAAAATATGATATAGTTAGTACTTCTATATCCGTTCTAAAATATAAATATTTGTACTAAAGACATATTTGTACTTAAAAATTTCTTAATATGCAAAATTTTATGTAAAAATTCAAATGTGAAAGCAGGAAGGATATTAAACATTCATTTATTATGCATCTTTACCATAAAAAAATCAAATAAATAAAATGATTATTTTGCTTTGACACAAAATGTTTTACCTTTATACTCAAAACGTGTGAAAATATTTAAGAAGAAATTTATGGACCATCGTTTTCTAGCGATTTATTTTGCCTGTTAAGGATTCAAGACTTTTGAAAAGCGTTTAGGCTGCAGCTATAAAATCAAAAGCAGTTTTTTAACCAACTAAATAATTCCATCTGTAATGTAATAACACTGATGCTTTTCAGCAAGTAATTTTAGTATTGCTATTATAATTACTTTCATGGTTTTATACATTTTAGTTTTAAAATAACACAGACTATACATTTGTTTAACATAGTGCTTTAAGAGAATGAAAACACTACTTTTGATAGGTTCAGCTTCTTGGCTATCTGACTGAGCTTTTCCTTACCCTGTTTAGTAAACTAAGCTTATGTTTCGGAAATGCAAGACAGTGTCAAAAGACTTTATCAGAGGTTATATATGAAATAAATGAAACTGTTGTTTATCCTAGCTCGATCCACGATATAGCAGCTCGGCAAAGACAAAACTCTCTATATCGCTAAAGAATTAAATGAGAAAGCATGTTAATTCTTGGCAATAAATATGATGAAATATTTTTTAACTGAAGAATATTTTCTTTCCCGCAGTAACATATTCAGAATGGTACCCTATTTTATACTTAACAAACACTAAGACATTTGTCTTTGCATAATCATGATTACTTATTACAGAGCAACTTGCTTTCAATTAATAGTTACATATAACTGTTATGAATGATTTTCCTGTATGAGTTCTACAAAATTGCACAAGTTATCCCATACAAGGTTTTTATTTAAATCTTTTATAGTTCTTAAAGCTGCATGGCTGTTGATTATGAAGAAAATTATAAAATATAATACCAACACATAAAATAGCCAAACATTTTGTCCTGTTAAAACAAACCATATTTATTTAAAAGCTAATCGCCAAGCTAAAATTTTCCGAAGTAATATCCCACTGAAATACATACAGTTTGAAAAATAAAAAGTATGGAGTAAAACCGTAATTCTGAAACGGGATTTGTTTAATCATTACTTATCTAATGTTTGTACGTTGTTTCTTAACAGAAAATCAAAATCTGTACAGATGATTCATATGTTATAAAGAGTGTCTTGAAAAGATGGGAGCTACAGGCTTTCTTTCCTTTGACACTGACATAGCACTTACTATAATAAAGCTGCGGAACCGGTATAGTAGTCAGCGTCGCTGACTGCCGTGCCGAAGGGCCCAGGTTTGAAATCCGAAGAAGGCATGGATGTTTGTAAATGCATAGTGTCGGTGCCGCATGGCGGTACTGTAAAATATGCGGCGAGCCGATCTAACTTGAAAAGTTCTTCTTTTGAGAAATGAAATAATCAGCTTTAGAAAGCTATCAGGAAGTATGCAGTTTGAAAGCTTGTACACAACTCCTGCATACCACACTCGATCGAAAGCTTTTTAGAAATCGAGGTAACATGCAGCGACTGCGGTCTTTTTCTGGAAATTTAGAGCAATATATTCTATTAAGTTTAGGATTTGGTGTGTCGTAGAATGGACTCTCTTAAATCCAAATTGGTTTTCGTCAATAATTTTCAATCTTTCAAAGTGAGTAGTCAAACGGTCATTTCAAATTCTCTCGAAAACTTTTCCTATTGCCGGGAGTAAACTAATCGGTCTGTAGCTTGTGACTTCATGGGTTTTTTTTTTCCTGGTTTTAGTATCGTAATTATAATTGAATGCTTCCATTGCTGAGGGAAATGTGTGAGTCGAATGCATGCGTTAAATATGCTACAAAATAACACAATACAGTTTCTTGATAGTGCTTGCAGACCCTCATTGGTTATGTTGTCGTACCCTCTTGTCTTCCGTTTTTTGAGTTTTTTAATAATGCTTTGAACTTTGTTTGGAGAAGTGAATTTAATGAAGTTAGAATTATGCCGGGATTTTATATTAACTATTTCTTGCTTAACTTCTTCCTCGTATTCGGAATTTTCTTCTTCGTGTTTATTGAAAACTTTTCTTAAGTTGCTTGCTAGAACTTCTGCTATGTCGGATTCTGAGTAGAATGGGTGACCCATGTAGTCGATCGGATGCAGATGTTGCGCTCGGGTATTTCGGAGGGATCTTGCGATTTTCCAAGCTACATTTGGTTCTAAATCCATGTTTTCAAGGAGGTTATCCCAACTTCTGGATCTATGGTTAATAATTTCTTGTTCAATCTTTCTTGAAAGATAATTAAAGTGTGTTTTATCTCTTGGGTTTCTTGTCATTTGCCAAATTTTTCTTCTGCTATTTCGCTGCTTTATTAGATTTAAAATGTGCTCCGGAAGGTTTTTGCTATCATTTCTCTTACTGGTGAAGGTAGCGTTTTTAATGGCGTCTTGAATCTTGGTATTAAGATTATGAATTGCGTTTGCGCTGAATTATTGCGCAATTATTTATTATTCCGGTTCCTCATTTGATAGTGTACGCTTGTGCGTAACGCGCGGGGTAACAAATCCTTCTTTATCGGTGGATTGCTTTTTACGTTTTTTGCCGCTTGCGTTTCTAGTTAAAACATTTCCCTTTTCCATTTTTTGGGATGAGTTTGGGGCTTGTGAATCTCCTTCCGTTTTTTCTTTATTATCCTTTTCCAGTAATACTAGCAATATGCTCGCTTAAATCTTTTAGCCTAGCATCATTTTCAGGGCAATTGTTTTGTTTAAGGGCGTCTAACTCCTGCATTAGTTTGTCTCTAATTGTGTAATCATCTAGTCCTGGGTAATACTCACGTAGCCTCTTTAATCGCGTTACATCCGTTTCCATAACCTAAGCTGCTAACGGGCTGCGTTGGCACGGTAATGCATCAAGAAACAAAAGATAGAATTCTTACCAAAGCGATCCAAAACCTCCTTTCAATTCACCAAGTCTCAAACAACCCTTATCCAAGATAGCGATCTAACTTGAGAAGCCAAAACGTCCGAAAAATTAGGAATGAAGGAAAAAACGTTTTATCAACTAAATGCGCAGTTCTCAAGAGAGCAGCCTCCGAACTGAGAGTATGTCGATGAGCGAGAGCAACAGTCGACAAAAAATGAGCAGTGCCGAGCGAGCAGAGAGGAAATAGGGAAAAAGAAAAGGAAGCAAAGAAAACCGCAAGAATCATTCAGAATGACGAGCCAATGGAAATATCAAAAGAAAACAGATTTCAAGCATTAGAAAACACAGAAGCTACCATGGAAGGTGGAGCCCAAGAGAAGAAACGTCCCCACCTATTGTGATGCAGCAGGAAGCCACGGATTGGTTGAAAGTACATGAACGTTTTTGTAAAATTCTGCAGATGTGAATTCGGGGCAGAAATGAAAGTCCGATCCATCTATGAGAACGTAAGAACAGTTGATGATTACAGGACGATGACGAAAATACTACAAGAGAAGAAAATTCCATTTCATTCCTTTCAAATCACTCCACCAACTAAGAACGGCCATGCACAACACCCACAGAATCAAGAAAGAGCTCTTAATCTGTCAATACTTCCTGTGTCCGGGCCGGGTAAGTTTTCCCGTGTTGAGTCAAATTAAGCCGCAGGCTCCATTCCTGGTGGTGCCCTTCCGTCAGTTCCTTTAAGTTTCAGCTTTGCAACCATACTTCCCCAGGAACCCAAAAGCTTTGGTTTCCCGGAAGCTGCCCGGCGTGTCATTTGATCATTCCTTTCAACTTCAGAGCGAAAAGCCATTGAGGGTAGTGATTAAAAACCTTCCTAGCACTGTTAACGAAGATGCAATCCTGAAAGACCTACAAAAGAGGAAATTCCCAGCTACGAAGGTAAAGCAATTCCGGAAAAGCAAGAAGAATGACTTTCGAGAAAATACCGATATTCTATGTTGAACTGGAGAAAACAGCGGCGGGTTATTCAATCCACCAGCTAAATAATATGTTCGGATTAAACATCAGAATAGAGAAATTTGCGCCGAAAAAATGACCCTTACAATGTTATCGGTGCCAGGAGTATGGCCACTCCCAGCAAATCTGCACCAACGCTGAACGATGCTGTAAATGTGGACAGTCGCACAGGAGCAAGGTTTGGCCGCTGAAGGAAGACGAGAAGCCGGCCTGCCGTTTTTGCAAGCAATGGCATGTAAGCTCTTACAGGGGATGTGAGGCGTACAAGAAGCGTTTTGAGAGAATGAAGTTCGTACAAAAAACGAGGGAACCAGAGCTCACAGCAGAAGACTTTCCAAAGCTCATCCAAAATAGGGAAATAGCCGAAAAGAAAGTGCCGAGTTACAGCCTACAACGATAGAGTAAAAGCCAGACTCAAACCTCCACCAGATGAGCAGTGTCATGGCTGCAAGACAAAAAAATCAGGAAATTAAGTACAATTGTTGGACCCATAGAAAAAATTAGAGCAGCAGGGAGGTATTTCATGTCACTCTGAACTCAGAACTTATTTTTCGTATGTGACTCTCCTACTTGACTTTGCCACAGACTGATAACACCTTAGACAGATTGCACTACTATGGACTCGTGTTGCGCCTTCGGGCGAGGTGTTCTTACACCTTAAAATAATTTCACTACCGCGAATGGCCTTATACGGTAAATATTGATTGCAGTGGTAAACATTCTTTGTAATTGACACCAGCGGCGAAAATTAGGTAAATTGCTAAGAAAAGTCCCTGCTAAACGGGACTTTTCTGAGAAAAGAGATTCTGGTAGCACTGGTTTAAACGGGAGGATTCTTAGAAAAAAGAGCCCAACCTGAAGCGAAGTCCCGCCTAGCTACGGAAACAATGTTGCGGCTACGCAGGATTTTCAAACCTCAGCGAAAAATGACTCGACTGGACCTCAGTCCCAGGTAGAGACAACCAGTCAGATGAAAGTTCTGCTTCTGAAGCCTCACGTGATCCCAAACTAAGCGATAATCGATTAGTGTTTGCCGTTCAAGTCTTTGTAGTAAGGGAAAATGGTAACCTAGCTACGTGGATTTCCTGGAATTGTGCGGGTTCTGAGAATTGTTCCTTTTGACGTCAAGTCCCGGATAGCCGAAACATAATGAGATTGAGACTTAAGAGTAGATCCTCAATTAATATTGCGAAGCTAAAATTTTGAAATTTTAGCTAATTTTTTAGAAAGTACTCGTGCGATTTTTACAAAACGTGGCAGTTTGGCATAATTTGAGCATTAGAATCGAAATAGGGAAAATACTTGGCATTTCATTTCAGAAAATGTCCGATTTTCTGTCAAAATACCTATATTAGAATATTTTTATATATAAGTCTAATACATACTATACTAAGTCACGCTTTCGAGGCATGAAAAATGCAATTTTAATTTCGTCAATCGGTCCAGTAGAAAGAGAGATACAGGGAACTGTCTTCCCCACAGTGTAGAAGAATTCGGCATTACTTAAGGATGCCCACTTTACAAATTACTTTTAGAAACGAATTCTTTCCTAAAGATAGGTTTTTCTTACCCTGCAAAGTATTACCGTTTTGAACAATATTAGTAATATTTCTTTTCCGCAAAATTTAATTGATGCTTGATATTTCCGTATCCTTCAGATGAAATGAAATGTCAGTATGGCGTAGAACATTCATAATATGAATATTTATTGATTAATAACACACTTATGAAAGAATGTTTTTTAGCTGACACATATTCTCTTAAAATAAGTTGTTTTAGCAAAATCTAAAAATTAACATAAACAACACTTACCATAATTTGATTGGTATAACATATTCACTGGTACTTGCTGAATGTGAGGAATGGCCATGTTCTTCGGCTCATCCCATTCGTAATATACGAGATAAGCTGTTGATCCTGGAATTATAAATGGAAAGTTAGGTTAATTCAATATGGAAAAGCTTATGAGGGTAGTCTGACTAACCTACGGCAAAGGAGGACTTTCCAAAGGGAACTGACTCGTGTTCGCGTTACACATGGGAATACCACTATAACCAACCACGCAGCAATGCCCTTTGTCTGGGATCGAGCCCCGGGTAGAGCCGTGACCTTCGAGAGGGAGAAGGCCATAACACTTTATAAACATGGCGGAGCTTTCCGTCCGATGTTAGGGCCCACCAGCGGCCGAGCGGTAAAGTCGCTGAACACTGGTAGTTCGGTCCGAGGTTCGAATCCCCGCGAACGGGCTGGCTGCATGGGCGTTTACGTGTTTTTCCCCATGTGTAACGTGTATACGAGCCAGTTCCCCTTAGAAAGTCCTCCACGAAGGCATCTCTCCCCTTAGGCAGATAGCCCTAGTGTGCTTTGCCATAATTAAATACACCAACGTCCAATGTTATCGTCGGAAAGTCATCTGGATTTTTAAATTTTCTTCGGAAATATTTTATCATGTTACTTAGTTAATTAAAATAGTGAAATAAAGGAGGCTTTATATACGTTATTTTCACTTTTTAGGCCTTTTTACAGATATTTTAATTAACTTTGTGCATAAATATAACTGAAAGAGCCGAAGAACAAACGATCATTTTATAAAAATTTAAACGCTGATTGAAAGTTGCCATTGTCATGATAAACTGGAAAGGGGTTCTTAAGATAATAATTAATATTTTACCTAGGCTCAAGTATTAATTTATTCGCGTTTCAGAGCAAAATATATAACCACCAATTTCTATATCTCCAACGTAATGAAATACTATATAAATTAGCTAATAAATGTGATAAAAATATTTCATACAAGAAACATGCCTAAATCTTATAACAAAAAAGCCTTCCAACATTCATATTTGAAATGAGATAAACTAACAAACAACATACACAACTGGCAATATTTTAAAAAACACATAAATTATACGATGTTTGAATTTTACCAGAAAAAAGTAACAGAACTACTATTTCCAATTAAATTAAAAACCATTTAGTGTTTTTTAAATAGCAAGCTGTTAAAAGTACAATAAGTAGTAGCAATGCTGATTATTTTTAACATCATTTCTTTTGATCATAAGTAAATATATACATATACTTGTTCTAAACAAAGACAGATTCTCACGGCCGTTTTATTCATTTTTTCAAATCAATAACATTCCTTTGGACACTTTCCCTTGGATACTGCGCAGAAATGATTTGAATAATAGTAAGAACTGCACATTTAAATCTGCTCTTCATTAAAGAGCACACAACAAAAAGTTTTTTTTCATTTATCATGAATTTTATTGCTATCACAAACATGTACAAAAATTAACAATGAAAATGGCATGTATTCAAATGTAATAATTAAAAAACATAAATTGCAACATTCGTATTCATACCAAGAGCTCTATTACAAATTCCAAGAGAAAAATAACAGAGCTGCAATTTACATTTAATGTAAAATTTAATGTTTTTTAAATAATATATGATTAAAATTGCAATAATTATGGATTACAATATTTAGTAGTAATGCTGATGTTTCTTAACACCATTTCTTTCAATCATATGCAGGTGCATATACATATTTTAGCTTCCAAATTTTAGGATAATACGAATTACGTGTAATCATTTATATGCTTTTTAAAATTATTAACCTTTCTTTGCATGTTACATGAAGAGCTTTCAATAATATGCACAATAACTTACTATGTGCATTAAAATCTGCTCTTCATTAAACAGCATGTCAAAACCTTTTTTTTATTTATTGTTTCCTTATTATGACATATATCAAATTAAGCAACAAAGCTAAAGTTATACTTATATAATAACAAAAATCATATAATCAAACATTCATATTTATTGTTATTTATAGTGTTTCCTTAGCATCTGCAGCCCACCAGCGGCCGAGCGGTAAAGTCGCTGAACACTGGTAGTTCGGTCCGAGGTTCGAATCCCGCGAACGGTCTGGCTGCATGGGTGTTTTCGTGGTTTTCCCCATGTGTAACGTGTATACGAGCCAGTTTCCCTTAGAAAGTCCTCCACGAAGGCATCCCTCCCCTTAGGCAGATAGCCCTAGTGTGCTTTGCCATATTTAAATACACCACCTTAGCATCTGCTCTTTCTATCATACCTTAACATATTCTATTCTTTGAAATAATCATGAAAATTTCATTCAAAAAATACATTTTCTAAAATCAGTAAACTTTTTCGTATATACTGCAATCAATTAGAAGAAAATCTTTGAATATACACAGTAGCATGCCACATGCATTAAAGACTCTTCACGAAATAGAATACAATGAAACTTATTTTACCCCATTTATCATGAATTTTCCTGCTATCACAAATATATACAAAAATTAAGCAATGGAAACAATATACACTGGTGTGCAAAAATTAAGGACGATACAACTTTGTACAAAAGCTTTCCAAATCAACACATTTAATGCCGTAAGATCCCCAATACGTAAGGACATGAGTAATGTAAGCAACACTTACTAAAAGAGAAATCAGAGGGATAAAAAGAAGCTTTATTGAAAAAGTAGCATGGAGCGAAATGCGACTGAAGGCCGAAACATCCCTGTGATGGGTGTCCAGCAAGAAACATCCGGTCTTTAATAGGGGATATGATCTCCCCTGACTGCTAGGCAGGTTTCACAGCGTCTGCTCATGCTGAGAATGAGAGTGTCAATAAGTTGTTGAGGCATTGCTGCCCATTCGTCTTGCAGCGCCAATCGAAGATCCGGAATCGTTACTGGTGGTAAGGTACGAGCTGCCAAGCGTCTGCCTAGAAAAAAAATCCCATACATGCTCGATGGGATTGAGATCTGGAGATCGTGCCGGCCAATCCATACTTCAATATCCTCACTCTCTAAGAGCTGTTCGCAGCTACTGTGCGATGACATGGTGTTGCATGTCGTTCCATGAAAAGGAACTGCGGACCCATAGCGCCTCTAAAAAGACGCACATATGGAAGAAGAATCTCGTTACAATAACGAGTCCCGTTGACTGAACCTGCGTCGAAGATGTGAAGGTCTGTACGACTACCAAGCATGATGCCTCCCCAAACGAGAACACTGCCACCTCCATACCTGTCCCTTTCAATGATGTTCGAGGGATGATTGCGGCTTCCCCGCTCTCTCCAGATGAGTATGCGATGAGAATCGCTACTCAAACTGAATCTGCTCTCATCTGTAAAGAGTACTCGTCCCCATTCATTGTCTCTCCAATTCAGGTGTTCCCGGCACCACAGAGAACGCCTTCTCCGATGGGCAGGCGTTAGAGGTACACACCGTACAGGGCGTCGTGCAAACAGACCACCACCGTGCAGTCAGTCTTCTGGCCACGGTAAAACGCGATATCGGTCGTCCAGTCGCCTCTGTCGTGTGTCTAGCGATTTCTCCTGCTGTCTGCCGCCTGTTTCTTCTGGCCTGTAAGGCAATATACCGGTCATCTGCGGGTGTGGTTCCTCGTGGACGACCACTACTAAACCCCCGGATAGCTGTTCCTGTAGTTTGAAATTGTCTCCAAAGTCGTGAAACGATGCTGTGAGCAATTCCGAACTCTGCAGCCACACTTGTCACACTGCGGCCTTCCTCCAACTTCCCAATGATTCGACCTCGGGTAAAAAGCATCCAGATGTCGTCTAACAGATTGATTATTCGCCATTTCTCGCTGAGGCAGCAACTCGATGTGATTTTAACTGCTATACGGCGTGCAATCTCTTTGCCAGAAATACTGATCTTACACCGACAACATGCTTTATACTACTCAGACACTCCCCCATTACGTCTACCTGCATATCTGCGCATGTGCTACCGTACATCACCTTACTTAATCTCCTGATTGATCTTTCTGTCCGCTCTGCCTCTTCGTTCAGCTGATATGCTAATTTTTCGACTTCGTCCTTAATTTTTGCACACCAGTGTACTTTAATAGTAAAAACTCTAAATTCAAACATTCATATTTATACTATGGTCATACCTTAGCAAATACATATAACTTATCTTTTAAATGGCATAAACTATGCAGTGCTTGGAGTTACAAATACTTTAACCCTTTACGGCTCAGTGTTCCACTACATGGAACACCCAAATTGAATCGCTTCTGAAACCTTTAAATTCAACCGTAAATAGATAAAAATGCCTTTATAATATACTTTGAACTTTTCTTTTTAAACAGTAGATAGCAGCATATCACAAAGAGACAAAGAATTTTCATTTATTTTGTTTTATTAAAATCCACTTTTTCAAGTATATTCTCTATTTTTTATGATATAAAATTTTATTTGGAAAAAAATTTAGGATTAATTTTGCTGGCTGAACTCCAAATTATCTGTTCTATATTTTTTTTAATCTTTCAGACAAAAACCATACGCAGAATCATTGAATAAACCTGGGTGTTTGGGGAACATGGGGGGGGGGGGGGGGGGGGTGGGGGGGGGGGTGGGGGGGGGGGGCGGGTGGGGTGGGGGGGGGGGGGGGGGGGGGGGAGCAGTGGGGGGGGGGGGGGGGGGGAGGGGGAGGGGGTGGCGGGGGGGGAGTGGGAGGGGTGAGGGGGGGGGGGAGGGGGGGGGGGGGGGGGGGGGGGGGGGGGGTGGGGGGGGGGGGGGGGCGGGGGGGGGGGGGGTGGGTGGGGGAGGGGGTGGGGGGGGGGGGGGGGGGGTTGGGGGGGGGGGGGGGGGGTGGGGGGGGGGTAGGGGGTGGGGCTGTCATGCTTAGAACATCTGTGCTAGGAAGAGAACATCCGTTGTTTACGTTTTCTGTTTCCATTGCTTTGGGCGGGGGGAATGAATTCAAACAAAGCAGTATTGAGGGGTGAGGGGTGAGGTGTGTTTTGTGGTATGAAAGCCTTAATATTGGCATCTCGAATTTTTTGGGAGTAGTTTTTAGGCGGGAATTTTATTAGTAGCTTGACACATCTTTATTTAGACCTGCGCGAATTTTTTGCTGTCGCATTTTAGTCTCATTCCCATTTATTTTCAATAATTGTGTAGATATTTTTCGTGTATGTATATATTATAGGCTTGTTTTTCTTTATTGTTAATATTAATCGTAGTTAATTTTTTTATTATTAATTTTCCATAAATGGCGCGGAGAGGTCTAACTCTTTCCGAAAAATTTGTAAATATTTTGTATATAGGACTTGTGTATATAGATATTTACCTCATTTATCCGTATATATTCAAGAATATCGTGTATATCCAGGAAACCATGTATACAGCCATAATACAGAGTTTTTCATTCTTATACAAACGCTTCTACTCATTTTCGTGCTTCACTGCAATGCTCGCTTAGTCGCACTTTTAAAAGCTCTGGCAGCGCAGTGTTCCACCTCATGGAACCACCATGTGTTCCACCTCATGGAACACCCACAGAATTAAAACGGTAAGTGCAATTTTTACAAAATTTTACCTGTATACTCCTTTAGAACGAAATAGACTGCATACAACTTTTTTTGTTGAAATTCCGACGTTAACGTATAGCGCGCCGCAAAAGGCTAAGAAAATTAATAAAACTGTATTTTACAATTAAGAAAATAAAAATACTTAATTATTTTTAAATTTCTTTGGTTTTCGTTCATTTGAAGCAGAAAACTTACTATCTTCTAATACTTTTGTATAATTGTTAAACAAATGTTTGCAAATGTATTTAGCATTTTGATGACAATATTAAAGAAATCACAGTTGCAAGACTGACATATTTCATTACCAAGTAGCCCACTATTACTTATAAATATTTTAAAAAGTGAAATAATGACTGAATGCTGATTTCGGTATTTTTGAAAATGTTTTTCATATTTTCTTTGATATAAGTTTTCTAAATATGCAACAACTATGGATTATAATATTAAAAAGTAGTATGGACGATTTCTTAAAACCACCTCTACTTACCATATCTAAATATGCGCACTTATCTTTAGTTTCTGTCGTTTGAGATAATGGAAGATTATCATAATCTCCCCCTTCAATTAATAAATTATCCAAACTCAATATCTTTTCTTTTCAGATTACAGACTGCAGTTTAAAAAAATGTACACAATAACCAGCTATATATATTAAAGCTTGCTGTTCCTTCATTGATACATTTAACTCCACATCACAGCCGTTAAATACGCATGGATATGCATCGTCTTTTAACATTAAACGTTTTCTTGGAATTCTTAAAATCGCCCCATTTTTATCCGTGAATACATCTTCACGCACAATCATATCTTCGCGAAAATGTTTTTCACAAACAACACTTCGTTTATATGGTATGAAATTCGCGCGAGGAATCTTACGGCGCCAAAGCTGCTTTTTTGCTTCATCCGTTGGAAATTTGTGCACACTCACGTAATTTTCAGTTCCAGCATAATTAGAATTGCACTTAGGTACACAACAATGGTCAGGCATTGTTACAATATTAACAAAGTCAGCACTAAACAACAAATCATATTGACAAATTTAGATTTTACAAAAACGTACACATGCCTCGTGGTAGTTACAAAACTAATGGTGGAAAAACGATGGACGGAAAGCATGACTCATCTCTGACTTGTTCGACGAGTGTCATGGCCTTCTCCCTCTCGAAGGTCACGGTAGAGCGCTCAGCAGGCATCAGTCGGCCACTAGTAACGCATTAGACTGAAACATTTTTAACGCTTGGAACTCATAAAGAGAAATACAATTATTACGAGTATTAAAAATATTCGAAGTCTGTGTTGCGTCATAGAACCGCCTCCTACTTGCCATTTTTATTCATTTATTTAGAAAAATAGGATGAGTGAGTTTGACCGCGGAAAACGAACTTTTTAAGGCAATTTTTCTGCAGGCAGAATGACGGCACAATGTATGTTATGTTGACTTCACAACAAGTTCTTACCATAAAGAAATAATCCATTCATTCAGCTAATAACCAGCTAAGAACCTATATAACAGGTTGTTTCCAATAGTAATTCTTTTCAGACCAGTGCTGCTTTTAAAGATAATCTCAGACCTTTGACATGAAAGAGGACGCAAATTCAATGAGATTATGAAAACTTAGGGAAAAAAAAACCCACGCAAAAATATATGTGAGAAAGTTCTGGGGTAAACGTCATTATGATAGCTATGACCCCTATGTTTCCATTTAGTCTCAGAATATGCAGATATGGAAAATACCATGGAAACTAACCATGCAGTCAATACATGACCATGCAGTTAATACATGCTCCAGGAATTCAATTCGGGTCGAGCTCCATAGTGTTCAGCAGTCGTCATTCAGCCGTTGGTCAAACATTCGCGTTACACATGGCAAATAACACGAAAGTTAACCATGCAGCCATTCCGTTCGCCTGAGATAGAATACGGGTCGACCTCCCAGTGTCCAGCGGTCGTCTCTCAGCCACTGGTCCAAACGCATGCAACGCAGAGAAATTTTAAAGGCATTGAACTCGTGGCGAGAAATACAAATATTACCAATCTTTAAAGAATTCGAAGAACGTTTTGCATCACAAAATGATATTCATCTTACTCTTTTTTTTTTTAGTTTATTTAGCAATATAAGATGAGGACAGGAAACGAACATTTCAAGGCAAATATAAGACTCGACAAAAGTTATACAAGTTAGCTCAGAATAGTTTACCGGCGCGCAGTTTAAAGCATTGGCTAGCGAGAACGCTAAAGTCGGAATACATATTTTTAGGCGTAGTCTTGCATTCCTTGTTACGATGAATTTCGTGCGCTTGTTCTTATGCTGCTGTCAGAAAAGTGAGATTAGTCAAAACAACAACATATTTTTAGCAGCGCAGGCAAAAATATACTAACTACAAACGCGATTGCTAGAAGCTCTCTTTCTCTCAGATTCAAAACCCTAAGCTTAAATATAATCAAACATCAGCTGCATTCTGGTGAGGAATACGGAAAAGAGAAGAGTAAAGACCAAAATTATAATAACCGGCTGATTAGCATAAGATACTAATCAACTTACACTCAATACTTACAGTTCCTTTTGAGGAAGACTGTTGTTCCGAAATTTCAGTATTCTTCACATAAAATGCAAAGCCAATATGACGTACACCATTTATAATATGAATATTATAAATTAATAATCCTCTAATGAAAGAATTTGCTTTACAAGGCACATGCTCTCTTGAGGTAAGTTGCTTCAGAAAAAATTTAAATCATTATAAGTAAACACCTACCATTATTTGATTCATAGCCTCCAATATTGGGGGTGTTTAGTCCTTCATTGATGCCTGGAATAGGTTCTACGGGAGGGCCTGAAATAAGAAATATGAGATTAGATTAACTGAATACGGTAAAGCTCACGATAGCTGTTAAGGTGAAGAATGCTTTCGCGGAGGACTTTCCAAGGTGAAACTGCCTCGGATTTGAGTTACACATGAAGTAATACCATTAAAACTTAAGTAAGCAGCTGTCCCGTTCGCCTGGGATCGAGTCCGGGCCCAACTCCCAATGTTCAGCGGTCATCACTCGGCCACTGGTCAAATATTAGACACATAAATTTTAAATGCTTAGAACTCATAAAGAGAAACAGCAAAACTATCAATATTTAAAGCATTTCGAAGGCTGTGTTTTATCATAAAGCGGTCTTGAACTTTCCCCTTTTTGTTGATTATTTAGCAAAACACGATGAGCAACGCACTTTTTTAAGGCTTTAAATAAAATAAATTTAAGGCTTTACTTTTTTTAAAACGCACTTTTTAAGGCAATTTTTGGCGTTAACCAAAGGATGGCACAATGTATGTAATGCTGCATTCACAGCAAGTTCTTAATATAAAGGCGAACTCATTTAGTTAATAACCAGTATCACAGGTTGTTTTCAAGAGTAATTCTTCCCGAGGGAAGCCCTGCTTTTAACACATTCATTGCAGCAATAGCGCGCCTTTATCCTTCTGTAAGTTTTGAGAAAAGGATATAATATGGACTGGAGTGCGGTTGAAAATTTAATAAAAAAGTCGTTAGACATACTGCAATAACGTAGAAGAAAACTTTGCGTCCAGGATGTGTTATCTTGTCGCTAGGGATTAACGAATATTCTTGGCAGATGAGAAATCTCGTTAGTAGAGATGAAACTTTTAAAGGTATTTTCAGACTTTGGTTTTAAAGAACATAGTATGTAAATTCAAAGTCTCTGTGTGAAATCAGAAACAAAATAATAACTGAAAAAAATATATTGTTACGAATTTGGTATTTAAAAAGCTAATGTTAGTTCAATTATAAATTAAATGGTTTTATTTCCCGAGCAGTGCAACGCGTGACGAATATTAAAAGAAAGCTAAGCCGGAAAATTGAAAATACAAGAGCGCGTGCATTTAACATTTAATAAATATCTCTTTTTGATTTCGAGAAAGTACTAGAAAATTCTCGCGCGCGATTTTAAGATCTTATAAAAGGAGGAATATCTCTCAGTTCGTAATAGTTAGTTACTTACTTAGTTTGTTGTTGTTTAGAAAACTGCTCTTGTTGACTGTAGGGAATTCGCGGATTATCTTTCTTCAGCTGTTTTGAATTAAGTTCTATTGAACGTTTGAGTTTTTACAAGAGAACTACTGTGCGATATTGTAATTCTGCACAATAATTTGAGAAAATTTAAGCATATTTCTTGTGATAATATAAAATTTGTTGTTCATTTTTAATCGAACTTGTGCATTCATTTCGTAACGAACCCGTATGCACGCAAAAATATAAAAGACTTTTTCTGGAAGGAATTTCGATTTTTGTAAAACACTTGTTTTTATTCAGCCTTAGGAAGAAAAATAACTAACTAATTCGGAAGAAGTAATCGGTAGTGATTTATGCGATCCTATGTCTACATTGTCGATAGATGTAGCAAATTCTTCGTCCTGATGAAGGATGACTACAATGCGTGCTGATCGGTTTAATTCACAAAACACGAAATTGATGCTTTAGAAGGTTTAAAAAATTTTGTGTTATTTCCTGAGAAAATTAATTTGATCACAAAGCCCTTAGAGTGCGTAATAGGGCTGGTATTTAATCCAGGCTTCATTAATTTTCTAAATAAAGAAGGCAAGCATTCAACTACTGTCTATTACTTTAAAGTAGGCACTTCAAGACTGTTGACAACCCTTACGATTTGCTATTGTCACCCCTGTTGTCATTAGAGTACAGGATTTATTTTCTCCACGTCATTTGAGACGAGTCAGTCTTCATGAGGAAAAAAATTAAGTGAGCCGACCGCCACTGTTATTTCCCTGTTAAGAATCAAACAGGGCGGCCAAAACAACCTTAAAGTTCATATTTTAAAAAAACAGATTATAGAAACCACAGTCCCCTACGCTTTAAATATTTATGATCTAAAACAGAAATGAAAATAATAATGTAAAAGTCTGTATCATGACGCATTTTAAAGGATTATTTTTATTTCAAGAAGTAAAATCAATAAACACAGATCTACATGGCATGATAACTAAAGACATTTCCGGCCTTTTACTACTGCAAGGGCTGGTAGCAGACATGTAAACTACAATTAAAAAAAACAATGTTATAATGACGCAAATTTCCATGTAGTAACATATTTAAATTAAAAAAATTCTATTTTATAGAAATCACTAAATCGAACTTTTAATACAATCCTATATTTATATTTAGGAAAATTTAATATTCATTATCGAAAACAAAAACACGAAACGTTTCACAACCAAACAATAAAAAAAACTGAAAATATTTAATTTCAAAATTTGGGATATTGACGTCATTTCCAACTTGTCTTGATGGGCCGGTTAACAAATAAATTAGAATAATTCAAGGTTGATTTTCCCCATAAATGTCATTCATTGACATACTTAAATTCTAATAATGTGTTGTATTAAAGTTCATAATTTATTATTAGTTCATAATTTTGTTACAATTGCTATACCAAAATCATTTTCACAAAGGTATTGTATCATTCCTTAAAGGTTAAAAATACGTTATTAAGATTCACATAAAGGTTTACTATTTTAGAAGTATTATATAATAATCAGACAAAAACTCATTAATTTAGAAATATTGTTAATTTTTAATTTATGGAAGTAATGTTACGTGTTGGTTATGTGCCACTGTGCTCTTCAATTTGTGTATGGCACATGAACATAATCTCCAACTTTAACATGAAACATCTCGATCAATTTTCTCGCACGAGAGTCGTACGTGTTTGCATTTAATTTGTAAGGTTTCTTTATGTTAATTTAAGTAGTTATTATGATTTAGATCTTTATTGTCATTTCTCCTGCAATTGCTGCATGGGCGATTTCGTGGTTTTTCCCATGTGTAATGTGTATACGAACTAGTTTCCTCTAGAAAATCCTCCAAGAAGTTATCTCTCCCTTAGGCAGAAAGCATTCATGTGTTTTGCCTAATCAAATAAACCAACCCAAAACCAATACATTCTTAACAAAGGTCTGGTTTGGTTTATGTGATTGCGGAAAAGCTCGAGGGCTAGCTGCGAAAAAGGGAGGGATGTGTTCGTGGAGGGGCATTTTAAGGGGTACTGTCTCATATATACTTTACACATGGGGAAAAACCCGAAAACGCCCATGCAGCCAGCCCACTCATGGGATTCGAACCTCGGATTGAAATAAAAGTGTTCAGTGTTTACTGCTCGGCAGTTGGTGGGCCTGAGCCGTATGAAACATTTCTTGACTTGAAAGTATATACTTATGACTGACAGTTGTGAGAATAAAGGACAGGTAAAGACTTTCTCACAACTGTCTTTATTTTCACGATTTTTTTTAACTTCATTTTCACAACTGTCAACAACTTAAGACTTCAAACATTAAAAATGCTTTAAACACGAAAAGTATTCATGTTATAATAATTTTAACTGGAAATTTCAATTTTGTAAAACTTTCAAAATATAACTCATTACATGCTCCCCAATCCCTGTATTTGTATTTAATAAACGGTCATACGCATTAAAAAAAGATTTAAAAAACGTTTTGACTCTCGTTCAACGAAAATAAACAGAGATATTTAATTTTAAAGCTTGATATTATGCTCCGGAGTTGTGCACATAACGCAGAGCGAAATGCTTCCATTATATATTAATTAAAAAAAGTGTGAACTAATGCCCAAGTAGAGGCGAAGTTTGTTAGCGTCGAGTTGACGCAGTGTAAATTTTAAAGAGTTAATAAAGGGTTTGAACCCTTCTTCTGTGTAGTTTCCTGCTACTCCAGTACACAGGTAGAAGTTAACCCACCTGGACACTACATTTGGCGCCCGAATTTATACGAACCAGAAAGAAAATGGCCAACGAAGAAGTATTTTCATAAGGCTCAGAAGTGGTAGACCCAATGGTGACCTCCCCGTCAGATGGATTTGGCTTCCTAATACAGACGATGAGGGCAGCAATTAAACAGCAGTGGTATTTGATGGCAAGATCTTCGTAACCTTATTTTTGGAAGCCCTCGAGACGCAATTCCAATTTTATCCGGTACCGGAAAGGCAGAAAGTAGATATTGCTTGAAGTGCTCTCCGAAGACAGGCGGAAGCTTGGTGGAAATAAATTGGGAAATTCCTACTTAGCGAAGTTCGATCACTCACCTATACCTTCAACAATTTCAAAGGACACTCCTAAAAGCGTTCCCGATAGTTAAAGATCGTGCCAAGCTTGAAGCCGAATTATACAGCTTCTATCAACGCAGGATTGAAGAACTAACCGAAGTTATCCTACGAAAGGTCAAGCTAGTGAATATGCTATACGGTAGAAAACCTGACAATAAAATTATTGAAATTATTACCCTCCGTTCAAGACTTTGTGGAAGTCCGGAATCCGCAAACGCTGCAAGAATTATTCGAATTAGCCGTAAAGTCTCAAAATTGGCGAATAAACAAGATTTTCAGCCCAGATAACTTCGAACATCCGGACCTTTCTGCAATTAGAAACAGAGCCCAAAATTACCAGATTCTAGATAATTTATTGTTTTTTACTAGGTCTACGAATGAAAACTTCTTCGAATATAGGCCAGTCTTCCCAGCCGCACTACGGCTGAGCATTCTGCAAGAGTTGCATGACATCCCGAACTGGTCACCTCGGGGTAAGGAAAACGGCGCGTACAGTACGCGAGGCAGTGTACTTTTCACAACTACAGAAAGTAATAACTGCGTATGTCAGGTCCTTTAAATTATGTTAGCTAATTAACTAAGTTAATTATCCCCCAGCCGGATACCTAAATAGAATTCTCGCGTTTTTTTTGTAATGAAATTCTGGGAATAGATCTTCTGGGCCCTTTTCCCCAAAGTGAGTCAAATAAAAATCGATATATTTTAGTAATTGATGACCACTTCTCTAAATGGAATAATTCCGTTAAAGCGAGCATCGGCTAAATTAGTCTCAGATGCGTTTTTGCATAGGTATATCTTAAAATACGGTGCACCGTTAAAAGTAATATCTGATAATGGTAGGCAGTTTGAAAGTCAAATTTTTGAGGATATATGTAAAGTGCTGGACATACGACATGTGAAAATGGTCCCTTACAGACCAGAATCTAACATCGCGGAAAGAGTGAATAAGACTTTAGTTAAAATAATTAGAAGCTATGTTAAAAACTACCACAAGCGCTGGGATAGCTGCATCGACGAACTGGCATACGCTTTAAGAGCTGCCAAGCATGACACGACAGGAAAAACGCCCGCTGAATTATTTCTGGGTAAGAAGATTTTGACCCCACTCGATAAGCAGGCGAACATCCAAAAACTAATTGATGAAGCGCTGAAAAAATTAAGATATAGCAACACATCGAAAAAAAGTCTATTATGACAGCAAACGCCGCGAAGCAGATTTCAAAGTGTGGGATAAGGTTCTAAAAAGAAAATTCACCCTGTCTAGTGCTCCAGAAAATTTTGTATCGAAGACTGCACATAGGTTTGAAGGTCCTTTCTTATATTGTACAACAGATCGTCGGGGCAGTCATTTATATTACTTCAGATTCAGGCGAAAGAATAAAGGCCAGTCCAGATCAGTTAAAGAAATACTACGACAGAACAGATTTTACTATATTAAATAGTTTTTTGCAGGCTTCCGAGACAGAAGAGGCTACAATAACAACTGCGGTTTCGATCCCAGCCGGGCTTCTACCCCCTGTGAAAAAGAGAATAACCCATGAGATAAGGCCGGAATCAACTCGAAGTATGCCCCAGAAAAGAACGCCAAGACAGATGGAAGCTCCAGCGTAGAAGAAAGTTAAGAATACGTGTCTGCCAGAAGAAAAGCCCCAGCCAAGAACAAGGATGGCCGTTGCGAGGACAAGGTCTCGCAGCAGACTACACCAGAAGAGAGCGAAGCCGCGGTTAACTGAAAGATCGACAAGACCACCTCTATGCAGAATAAAGAGACCTGCTGTTGCCCGAGGCTCTCAACACGGCCCGAAGCAACCAATAATGTCTATTCAACAGTCTTCTGCGATGCATGTTCCAAGGATCAACGTTCCGGCTAATAAACGAAGAAAACAGGAGCCCCCAACAGTCCAGTTCAAAATGCGGATGTATAGATGAGAAAAAAGGAAGGGATAGACCCCAGCCACTGGAGCGAAAACAGCGAATTCGGATTGCAAGTGTGGGCAAACCTAAATGGAATCAGTTCTGCAATAAACGCATGATGAATTACTAGTCAACAAAACACAAATGTTTTATGAAAATTTGTTTTAAGTTCACCATTTTGGCGAGAAGAAAGAGGTCGAGTAATATTTTTTTCTCTCATTTTATCCTCTAATTTGCTAGAAGTATGTGATTGTATAATCTGAAAATATCTATTGCGCTAATATAAAGTAACTGTAAATGCATATTGAATTCTAAAGAAATTAGAATAATTATGTAGTGTGAAAAGTTTCGAAATACGTTTAAAAGTTACTGAAAGAAAATCGTGAATACAGGAAATTTTAGTCAAATTAAATCATTCGTTTCTGAGCGTAAGCTTGCATGTTTCAAAAAAGCCAGAATGGGACTAAGTTAAAATTAAGCATGAAGGTGGACGAAAACTTGTGTCCCTAAAAAAACCGCAATGTTCGGTAAACTTAAGAAAATTACACTAAAATCTAAAGATTTAGAAACTCGAGAAAAAGTTCAATGCTTGTAAACGTAAAGTGTTCTTTACTGCATGTTCAGAAACATGTATTCATAGTTATTCCTTCCAGGACAAGTTTCAGTACCGTAATGAGCAAGAACTATGGAGTCTACAACGAAAAGATGGAGCGGAAAACAAATTATTTGTATTGTAATTTATATCAAAGTTTAGTTCTTGTATGTAAACGGGGCTCATGTCTGCGTTTCTAGAGTTTAACAGTTTGTAACAGGTCTTTAAGGACCTTTATCGAAGTCTGCTAAATTCTGGCGTCGGCAACTGTAGGAATTTATATATATTTTAACTAATAATTAAAATTTTAGTTCAGACTTTCCTATAAGCCTTCATTTCCCTAATTATCAGTTCCAGAATAGTTACATTTGGTAGCGCGGGTGACGTGAATGCGAATTCTGCTTTGAGGAGGAAAATTTAAATGTCGAGGTTTTAGAAGGGAAGTGGGAGAGTTGGGCTCGAGCAGCCGTCTCTACCGTAGGTACAATTTCTGATTGCTCGTTGAAAGTGGCTTAAATGCAATTATCTCCTGCCACTAGTTATAGAGGGGGTCGAAGTTCGATAGCTCGCTGAACCCTGTAGGTTAGTTTAGCTCTTTTAAACATTTCAACTTTTGATTTTCAATTACCATCTTTTCAGTTACCGCCCATGTAGAGGCGAAGTTTGTTAACGTCGAGTTGACGCAGTGTAAATTTTAAAGAGTTAATAAAGAGTTTGAACCTTTCTTCTGTGTAGTTTCCTGCTACTCCAGTATACAGGTAAAAGTTAACCCATCTGGACACTAAAACATTATTTGCATAAATTAAAAATGAAACAATGTTCAGCTTAATAAAGTATAATTATTGGATCACTATTTTAAAGTATAGAATTTAAAAAAGAATAACGCATTTTTAGTTTTAGAAAACTTTAAAATTACTTTTGTAAAAATTCTTTCAATATACTATTTGTAACAAAATTATAAAATATAGAATGTTACATATTAATACATGAAAAAAGAATATCAGTGAATGACATTTAAAGGGATAAAAATCATGATAATAATGTACTTTAGCAAAATATTCTAACTTGCTTGTGCAAAATTCTCTCGCGGGGGGGGGGCTGGATTAGGTAAGTTATTTTAATATGGGGAAGCATAGGGGAACTAGTATCTGTCAAAGGAAAATGATGCCTTCGTGGATGACCTTGGCTCGTACACACGTTATGATAAATTAAAAAATATCAGACACACATAAATCACACACATAAAATGTCAAACATGAAATGGACCACGAGTTATTCTAACATATGTTTTAATCAAACTCTTAAAGCAAGACGAAAAAGACGTCAAAGGTCCCAAGTAATGAAATCACATAGCTCCCTCATTTTACAGGAATTAAACTTTATATGTTTCATTTTTTATAATGAGAATAAATTTTTATTAAATGTAACTAGAGGAACTCAGGGATCGTAAAGTATCGGAAGGAAGTTTCGCAATTGTTACAAAATTAGTTTTTTATTTATTTATTTTATTTTTAAATGTCAAAATTTGAATATTGGCGTCAGTTAAATATTTTTGTAACTGGAAGCATATATTTACGACCAACCGGTATAAACTAAAGGCTACATAATGGATAAGGCGTAGGCTAGACAGAGATCGGATGACTCAAGCACCTGATTGATAAGTTATAATCAGTGAAAAATATACTTGAACCACACGGCGCCAATTTTCGTTCGATACGATAAAGAATCAAAATAATATTGACGCTACAGACCAACTTTCAATTAAAAGATTTTTGTATAATTATGACAAGAATTTTATGAAAGATTTCTCAACACTAAAATATGAAAGATTTTGTTAAACATTCTCATCGCATATATTTTCTGCAAAGTTAAAAAACCGGAAAAGGGAAATAGTCATTATTTTTAGCTAAAAAAGAAATTTATTTTCATAGTGAAACGTGAGAAGATATTTAAGAAAAATTTAGAAGTCTTTTTAGAGCAATTTAACTTGCTTCTTTTTAAAGCTTACTTTTAAAGCACCGCTTTAAATTCAAGACCTTTGGAAAAAACTTTAAACTGACATTAAAAATCAAAATATATTTGTTGAGACGACTAAATACTTTCATCTTTAAAAAAAGAAAAAGCACTGATGCTTCAAAAGTAAGAGATTTTAAAAATGGTAAATTAATATATTGTGTTTATTGCTTTAAACAACATTGATTATACAAGGAGGAGAAGTCTTTCGTTATTTATTGTGTATAGCGTTTTGAGAGAAGGAAAAAATACTTAGATTTGTACAGTGGACTGGTGATATCACATGACTTTATCTAACCGCGTTTAGTAAGACAAGCTAGAACCAGACTAGCTGAGCTAGCCAAAACAGTGCCGGAAGATTTCGTCACAAGATATGTGTGCCTGAACTGAAATTGTTACATTATTCTAATTAGATCCACGATACAGCAGTTTGATAAGAGTCTCACTGATATTCTTTGTATCACTAAAGGATTACATGATTTTAAGAATATTAAGTCTTGGTAAAATGTCTGATGTACTGTTAATTTTTTAACTGAAATACACTTTGTTTCATGTAATAAAATATTAAGATGGCTTTCTACTGTGACCTTAGCAAATCATATGACCTATCTATTTTATTTTACAAATTTAAGACTTTATTAAAGAGAAAACTTGATTTGGTGTAATATTTGCTTATTGCCTTATTACAAAGGACTTACTTTCCAACATGTCGTAGTCCTCGATAATTTCGCAGTCTTCCTGTTCATCTGAATGAATGCAGCGATCTTCCTCCTTTTTTTGAATTTCAGTTAATATATCATCTAAAACTCTCTCAACAATTTTCGTTGTAGTTGTTTCATCTGTAACGAAAGGACAAAAATATAATATCATCATACTTTGTAAAAACATATCATGAAGTTAAAATTTTTTCGAAGGAATATGTAATTGAAATACATACAACTTTAAAAAATAAAACTAATGTAACTTGGATTGATACAAAAATTTAGAATTGTACTTTGCCTAACACTTTACCCCTTAATGCGTCTGAATACAGCGTCTCAAGGCGGCTTTGTGCGGGCTTCTTTAAATACTCGACTTAAAGAAGCTGAAGACGCGGAATTTTATCTAATAACTAAATTTTTAGCCAAATTTTAATTTTATTTGTTGAAAACTTACCAAAATATACATAATTAATAATGATAACACGAAGGAAAAATTTTAATTTATATTTATCTTTGATGTGAAATCTAAATATTCTGCAAGAAATGTCTATTATTTAACTTTCTAACTGAAACTATTAACGGCTATATAGTAAAACTTCAAATTGACCTTTATTCTAAATAGTTATGATTTGTTGATATAACATTTAAATAATTAACTTATACAATTAAATAAAGTATAAAATTGTTGCGAATCTCCAGAAAAAGTTTTCAGGTGGGGAAAAAATTTGAGAATAAATAATATTTTTTCTCTTTCTCTTAGTCTTTAAATTATCTTCGACATATACAGAAAAATACATATATTTATAAGCAAATAATTATATGAACATATACAGAAAAAACATAATATTGCAAGAAAATAATTATAATTTTTTTTTATTTTTTATTTTATACTTTACATTTTTTGACAAAATAAAAAATTTTTGAAGAAATTAAATTTTTTAACCAAATTTGAAATTTAGTTCATTAAATGTTTATCAAAATATACATGAATAATAATAAATATAGATTTACTTTTAATTTCGATCTGAAATCAAAAGAGTCTGCAAGAAATTTCTGTTAATTACACTTTCCAACGCAAATATTAAAATTTAATTCGCTAAAAATTAAAATATCAGACTGACCTTTATCCTAAATAATTCTAGTACGTTGATGTAACAAATAATAGTTTACTTAAACTAAACAAACTAAAAAAGCTTTTGAATCTTCAAAGAAAACTTTCGAAGTGGGAGAAAACTTCAGATTAAATAATGACAACTTTTCTCATTCTTTAATTTATTAGTTTTTTTATCACATACAGAAAATATACTGTTACGAATTTTTCAAAATGTATAATGAAAGGTCTGCAGAGAATGAGGCTCTACCAGAAAAAAAAAAGGTTACAGCAGCAAGTCTATGAGGCAAATAAATGGCTGTCTCGCTAAACTGGCGAGATATCGGCAGACTAACGACGATTTTGGAAACTAATTTCAGTCGCGAAATTTCGCGAAGAATCGCGGAAAGTCGTCAAACTTGACGATCATTTGGCGTCATTTTGGTGCAGTCCCTGTAAAAGTATAATTTCTACTGTAACTGAATAACTAACTGTAATTGATCCCTATGTGTACCTGTAACTGTATCCGGCCCCTATGCATAACTTCAATCGTATATGCTTTTCAGTAATTTCGATAACTAGATGGTACTACAGGGAGAAACTATATAAGACCGAAAGCATCAGTTTCTCAGTTGCTTAGTTCAGCGTGAGTTCGGAGTATTCTGCCTTTTTTGATGGGTTTTGCATTGCACTTTGTTTAACGTCCTTAGTAGTTTGAAGTGTAACTACTTACTGTGCTCTGTGATACTGAGAAGAGCTGTACGAGTATTTTTGTGGAAACTTCCAGAACTGTAAAGTGTTTCTTTTACTACCACCATAAAGCGCTACAGACTACCTGGCAGCAAACTACCCATTTTTAAAAGAGTTCTGTCTGAAACTCTGACCAATGAAGAATCACACCTGAAAAGTTGCTCCAACCAGATGCAGCTTGAAACTTTTACACAAACTGTCATAAAAAGTTTACAGAGGTGCTGTGATCGCACAAGTAATGCTGCATTCACAGCAAATTCTTAATATAAAGGCGAACTCAACTCATTTAGCTAATAACCAGTATCACAGGTTGTTTTGAAAAGTAATTCTTCACGAAGGAAGCCTTGCTTTTAACACATACATTGCAGCAATAACGCGCCTTTATCCTTCTGTAAGCTTGAGAAAAGGATATAATATGGACTGGAGTGCGGTTGAAAATTTAATAAAAAAGTCGTTAGACATACTGCAATAACGTAGAAGAAAACCTTGCGTCCAGGATGTGTTATCTTGTCGCTAGGGTTTAACGAATATTCTTGGCAGATGAGAAATCTCGTTAGTAGAGATGAAACTTTTAAAGGTATTTTCAGACTTTGGTTTTAAAGAACATAGCATGTCAATTCAAAGTCTCTGTGTGAAATCAGAAACAAAATATTAACTGAAAAAAATATATAAAAGACTTTTTCTGGGAGGAATTTCGATTTTTGTAAAACGCTTGTTTCTATTCAGCCTCAGGAAGAAAAATAACTAACTAATTCGGAAGAAGTAATCGGTAGTGATTTATGCGATCCTATGTCTACATTGTCGATAGATGTAGCAAATTCTTCGTCCTGATGAAGGATGACTACAATGCGTGCTGATCGGTTTAATTCACAAAACACGAAATTGATGCTTTAGAAGGTTTAAAAAATTTTGTGTTATTTCCTGAGAAAATTAATTTGATCACAAAGCCCTTAGAGTGCGTAATAGGGCTGGTATTTAATCCAGGCTTCATTAATTTTCTAAATAAAGAAGGCAAGCATTCAACTACTGTCTATTACTTTAAAAGTAGGCACTTCAAGACTGTTGACAAACCCTTACGATTTGCTATTGTCAACCCCTGTTGTCATTAGAGTACAGGATTTATTTTCTCCACGTCATTTGAGACGAGTCAGTCTTCATGAGGAAAAAAATTAAGTGAGCCGACGCCCACTGTTATTTCCCTGTTAAGAATCAAACAGGGCGGCCAAAACAACCTTAAAGTTCATATTTTAAAAAAACAGATTATAGAAACCACAGTCCCCTACGCTTTAAATATTTATGATCTAAAACAGAAATGAAAATAATAATGTAAAAGTCTGTATCATGACGCATTTTAAAGGATTATTTTTATTTCAAGAAGTAAAATCAATAAACACAGATCTACATGGCATGATAACTAAAGACATTTCCCGGCCTTTTACTACTGCAAGGGCTGGTAGCAGACATGTAACTACAATTAAAACAATGTTATAATGACGCAAATTTCCATGTAGTAACATATTTAAATTAAAAAAATTCTATTTTATAGAAATCACTAAATCGAACTTTTAATACAATCCTATATTTATATTTAGGAAAATTTAATATTCATTATCGAAAACAAAACACGAAACGTTTCACAACCAAACAATAAAAACTGAAAATATTTAATTTCAAAATTTGGGATATTGACGTCATTTCCAACTTGTCTTGATGGGCCGGTTAACAAATAAATTAGAATAATTCAAGGTTGATTTTCCCCATAAATGTCATTCATTGACATACTTAAATTCTAATAATGTGTTGTATTAAAGTTCATAATTTATTATTAGTTCATAATTTTGTTACAATTGCTATACCAAAATCATTTTCACAAAGGTATTGTATCATTCCTTAAAGGTTAAAAATACGTTATTAAGATTCACATAAAGGTTTACTATTTTAGAAGTATTATATAATAATCAGACAAAAACTCATTAATTTAGAAATATTGTTAATTTTTAATTTATGGAAGTAATGTTACGTGTTGGTTATGTGCCACTGTGCTCTTCAATTTGTGTATGGCACATGAACATAATCTCCAACTTTAACATGAAACATCTCGATCAATTTTTCTCGCACGAGAGTCGTACGTGTTTGCATTTAATTTGTAAGGTTTCTTTATGTTAATTTAAGTAGTTATTATGATTTAGATCTTTATTGTCATTTCTCCTGCAATTGCTGCATGGGCGATTTCGTGGTTTTTCCCATGTGTAATGTGTATACGAACCAGTTTCCTCTAGAAAATCCTCCAAGAAGTTATCTCTCCCTTAGGCAGAAAGCATTCATGTGTTTTGCCTAATCAAATAAACCAAACCAAAACCAATACATTCTTAACAAAGGTCTGGTTTGGTTTATGTGATTGCGGAAAAGCCTCGAGGGCTAGCTGCGAAAAAGGGAGGGATGTGTTCGTGGAGGGCATTTTAAGGGGTACTGTCTCATATATACTTTACACATGGGGAAAAACCCGAAAACGCCCATGCAGCCAGCCCACTCATGGGATTCGAACCTCGGATTGAAATAAAAGTGTTCAGTGTTTACTGCTCGGCAGTTGGTGGGCCTGAGCCGTATGAAACATTTCTTGACTTGAAAGTATATACTTATGACTGACAGTTGTGAGAATAAAGGACAGGTAAAGACTTTCTCACAACTGTCTTTATTTTCACGATTTTTTTTAACTTCATTTTCACAACTGTCAACAACTTAAGACTTCAAACATTAAAAATGCTTTAAACACGAAAAGTATTCATGTTATAATAATTTTAACTGGAAATTTCAATTTTGTAAAACTTTCAAAATATAACTCATTACATGCTCCCCAATCCCTGTATTTGTATTTAATAAACGGTCATACGCATTAAAAAAAGATTTAAAAAAACGTTTTGACTCTCGTTCAACGAAAACTAACAGAGATATTTAATTTTAAAGCTTGATATTATGCTCCGGAGTTGTGCACATAACGCAGAGCGAAATGCTTCCATTTATATATTAATTAAAAAAAGTGTGAACTAATGCCCAAGTAGAGGCGAAGTTTGTTAGCGTCGAGTTGACGCAGTGTAAATTTTAAAGAGTTAATAAAGGGTTTTGAACCCTTCTTCTGTGTAGTTTCCTGCTACTCCAGTACACAGGTAGAAGTTAACCCACCTGGACACTACATTTGGCGCCCGAATTTATACGAACCAGAAAGAAAATGGCCAACGAAGAAGTATTTTCATAAGGCTCAGAAGTGGTAGACCCAATGGTGACCTCCCCGTCAGATGGA